TAACAGTAGCACAAACAAGCAGAATACCAGGCGCTGCACTCTGGAACCTAGAAGAGAAGCTCTCTCCTGCAGTGTCTCTCGATTGCCCTCTACTGGCAAAGCTTAACATTGTGCTCACTGTAAAAGAAAATACACTGAGTGAATTTGGAGCTGAGTGGCAATGAATAGATAACTAGCACAGGATCTGACTGCTTAAAACCCTGAGCCTTTCACCTGTGTCTGCCTTATAATTGAGAAAGAGTCTATGGCCATACCACCCTGAACGCACCCGATCTCGTCTGATCTCAGAAGCTAAGAAGGGTCGGGCCTGGTTAGTACTTGGATGGGAGAAAGAAAAAGACCTTGCTGTCTAGGAACTGATCTGGCTCTCATAGAGTAATGTGACTGTTACAACAGACTGATCTGATGTTCACAACTAAGCCATGTTGTTCTCTTGTAGGACGTAACATCACAAGAACATCAAGCAAGATCACTGTGCAACCCACGAAATTCCAAATCTCTCCTCTCATGAAATCAGTAACTGCTACTTCCTAACCAATTACAGCTTTATTCCCACTTTAGTGTACCCTCCCTATAAATCAGATTTACTGAGATATACTCAGTCATAGAATTGCCCTGATTTCTGACAGCTCCCAATCCAAAGCAAGTCACCATTTCCTTAGATTGCCCAAAATTATTCATCCAAAGCCCAAATCCTGTAGTAGTTTCTTTCTTCACTAAAACATGTTACAGTTCCCCAAGGTGTGCTCTCTGCAATGAGTAATATACCCAACTTGTTAAGCACAGGTGTGCTCCTAGGGTTTTTTGACTGAAGGGGATTGACAGAATAAATGATTAATAAATATTTATTAACCAAGTGAATCTTCTCCTTTAAGAAAAAAATATTCCTAAGTAAGGCATTTCAAAGTTGAAGGTAGGCAAGGGATTGGAGAAAGAATATACCCCCACATTAAATTATTTAAGGGCTATTAAGTAGTTACTGTTTTCCCATTTAATGTTGTAAAAAAGGTATTTCTATTTAAAAACCTAGATTTTAATTTTAGGGTTTCTTTTTTTTAAGAAACTAGCTGAGGGCGGGCGCGGTGGCTCAGGCCTGTAATCCTAGCTCTCTGGGAGGCCGAGGTGGGCGGATTGCTCGAGGACAGGAGTTCGAAACCAGCCTGAGCAAGAGCGAGACCCCGTCTCTACTATAAATAGAAAGAAATTAATTGGCCAACTAATATATATAGAAAAAATTAGCTGGGCATGGTGGCGCATGCCTGTAGTCCCAGCTACTTGGGAGGCTGAGGCAGAAGGATTGCTTGAGCCAGGAGATTGAGGTTGCTGTGAGCTAGGCTGACACCTTGGCACTCACTCTAGCCAAAAAAAAAAAAAAAAAAAAGAAGCTAGCTGAGGTAGAAACATTTACTTCTTTTTAGGAAGTTATTGTCTTAGAAAACTAATCTTTAAATAACAGTGCCCCCCCAAAAGAACTCTGATAATAGTTTATGGAATTATTTTTGTGACAATAAAACTCCATAAAAACCCATAATAAAACTAATAACGATTTTTAAAAGTTAGCACATATATACAGGAGCAGTCAAGTTATCTTTGTAATAGCTCACCTACAGAGGACATACTGTACATTTTTAATATCAAATCATAAAATATTTATTATTAGCACCACACTCTAACCAACTGAGCTAACTGGCCACTCATCAAATCATAAAATATTTAAATGAAGTGAATATGCAGTTATATTTTTTCCTCTCAGTTTTCAGTAGACCCTGTTCTCAAACTTCAGGAGTGATGTGTGGAATACATCTTCCTGGTGGAACAACACTGAGTCTTTTCATTCTTTGGTCACTTCCAGAAAGCTGTGGAAGTTTCCTGAGCATCCTTCCTACTCTGAAGGGCCTTGGGACATCTGTAATATATCTTATTGTTAAGATCATTACTTTTTTAGTTGAGTGTACCTGTCATCCCAGCTACTCAACAGGCTGAGGCACAAGGATCACTTGAGCCCTGGCTGTAGTGTACTATGATTGAACCTGTGAACAGGCACTGCACTCTAGCCTGGGCAACATACAGTGGACCCTGTTTTTAAAAAAAAAAAAAAAACTTTTACATTTCATTTTAATATGGAAGGGCTAAAATGTTAAAATGTGATTTTTATTTCTAAGAGTTCTGATCCCTATAAGGTCTACTAATGCATAGTTAGAATGAGTCACTTGGTAACAATTCTCTGCATGATGAACAATAACCATGCCTTAGTAAACAGATATTTGGATTTTTCTTATAATGTGCCTGGGCATGCACATAATTAACTGAACATATTTATATAGGGATTCATACAGAATCTCCCAAGAAGTATAATTTTTCAGTGAAGTTTCTTTTTTGAGTAGTTACCATATTCTCCTACTGAAAAATTAGTGGTTCTTTAATCTCATGTGGATAAAATCTAAGCATGTCTATTTAAGTTATGGATATCCATCAAAATTATATATTCTTATCCCACTAATTAATTTATTTATTCAAAAATATTATTTGAGCCTCTATTATATGCCAGATACTGTGCCAAATACTGAAGTTACAAAAATAAAAAAGACCCCAATCTTTGGTTGAAATGGAGGCCACAGAGTAAAATCTGAGGACACTTTGGATTTGGTCTTTTTATAGTTAGTTATCAGTCTGTCTTCCTACTCTTGATTTTTTTTCTTTCTTTTTTTTTTTGTATTTTGTTAGGATTATGTTGAACATTAGAGGAGAATAATATAACATTTAGCAACATCAGTAAATTTGATCAGTAAATTTTAGTCAGCACTGGCTATGAACCAGGCTCTGTGCTTTATAGGCAAAATCGGAGAAAATGGATAGCACTCTTCCCTTAGGGAACCCTAACTGGAGAAGAGACAGTAGCATGGGGCAAGTGCCATAATGGAATCCTGTGATAGTGCAGAACTGCAGTAAGGGCACAGTTTCTAAGAGCCATCAAATAGACTCCCGAGGTTTCAGTCAGGTTCCTATGTCCACCCCAACTCCTGTGATAAAAGACCATCATCTTTTACAGTTCATACATCTCTGCCTAATACTAGGAGAATTGTAGGTAAACTGATTATCTGATCTCCTTTGACCACTACCCCACTCTCTTCCACACAGAGTACCAGTTGTCTCAGCCCAGCTTTTTCTGAGGGTCTCAGCTGAAGCTCTGTATGTGTGTATCCCCATCCCAGGTGACTGGGTCAGCTCTTTGTGCTCATATCACTGACCCCCTACCCTTCAGGCCACCTGGTATGTGTTTTAGAAGTTTCCTGTAAACAACTTTTCACCTAAAATCTGAGCCTTAATAGTGAAATAAGGAAAATTTTAAGTACATTAGGGCTATGGATAGCTTATGATTCATTACCAAAATCCCATTATAAACTATTAAGGGCATTTAAAAATTATAAAATGAGGCTGGGTATGATGGCTTATGCCTGTTATCTCAGCACTTTAGGAGGCTGAGGTGGGAGGATCTTGAGGTCAGGAGTTCAAGACCAGCCTGGGCAACATAGCGAGATCCCATCTTTACAAAAAAAAAAAAAAAATATATATATTATATAATAGTATTACAGAGAGAGAGAGAGAAATTAGCTTGGCATGATGGCCTGCACCTATAGGCCCAGCTATTTGGAAGGCTGAGGCAGGAGGATCGTTTGAGCCCAGGAATTTGAGGTTACAATGAGCTATGACTAGACCACTGTACTCCAGCCTAGGTGACAGAGTAAGACCCTGTCTCAAAAAATAAATAAATAATAAAATGACGCAAAAAATTTTAAATGAAAACATTCTTTTTGTGCTTGGTCAAGTGTTCTTTGAGTTGATGTGAACCAAGTAATATCTGATCATTTTACTTAAACTTTTAAAAAATATTCCCCCAAAGTCTTCCTCAGATTTTACTATATTTGTGCACAATGAATTCTGTGAGCAGATTATTACAAGCCTATAACCCCTTATCTTCAATTCTCAAATCCAGAAAATACTGAAAAGCAAACCTGTTTTTGTAATCCATTTGTCAGTGAAACCAGACCTGAACCAAAATGACCCTATTCATATTCTTTGATTATCTATCCTACAGAGACACTCAAATGGTTTGCTACAGAAATATTAATGTATTTGATTATAGGGTACTGCCATAGATAGTTCATATATGTGGTATATGTACCATATTACTTTTCTAAATTAAAAAATCTGAATTCTAAAGCATGGCTTGCCTCCAAAGTTTTAAATAAGGATTGTAAAAAAAGAGAAAAAAAAGGATTGTTGACATATGTAAGTATTAATATAAAGCATCCATGGCAGAATGATTTAAAAGACCACTTTAATATTGTAGATAGTTTTTAGTTTTGATAAATTAATTCATGTAAACAAAACACAACAAAAAAATCTTCTGTTTTATGGTAACTCACTTTTTATCCCTAAATGTGATAGTTCTGCAGTTAGGGGTTACATATAGGAAGTGTGACTGTGAATGCATGTATGTTTGATTTCTTGTACCCACAAAATGAGGGCTAAAATAAATATAATCAACTAACTAAAGGCTATATCAATGATCAAATATACTGTACAAGAAAAAAGAGCCTCTGAATTAGAGATTGTATAAGTGTGCATGTATATAAAACTGATCAGTAGCAGTACACTATATCTTGCACATTTTTAATGGGATAAGTGGCCAAGAGCAACTTTTTTAGTTCTTGATTCCTCCACACTTTAAGGGAATGTAAATTCACAAACCAGTGATTTTAAGAAGCGAAGAGTGTGATGATGTTTCCCACCTACCCACAGCTCCTTAAAACCATTGAAATGAAACTATTTGATTCTTTAATTATGGTGGAATAGAACTGACCTATTTTCTGCATGATCATAAAGAAACATTTATTTTTAACACAGAACTTTTTTTCTTGAAATTGATATTTTCAAGCTTATTGCAATGATTGTTTTTACTTGGACTCTTCCCCTCCATTTTTCCCTGTTCTGTGCAGATTATCAACGCCTGATGACTGTGGCGGAAGGCATCACCACACTTTTGTTCCCATTTCAATGGCAGCATGTTTATGTACCCATCCTCCCTGCTTCTCTGCTACATTTTCTTGATGCTCCTGTCCCTTATCTGATGGGCCTTCAGTCAAAAGAAGGAACTGACCGTTCTAAACTAGAACTTCCTCAAGAGGTAAAACTTAAAATGAATGATGAAACATTTGCTGTTTGTTGATTTAGGTCAAGGCTACTTGTGTTAGATAACATTGTCTTTGTCTAACTTGTGTCTTTGACTCTCCTCATTCTCCCAAGTAGAGAGCCTGGGCCAAAGAATGCAGATTGTGAATCGTAATGGTTACTATAACATAGTCATTAATTAAACATTGTTCAAAGCAAAACAATGGCAGATTTTCACAACTATACGTTTGTGAAGATGGAATAATAGTAGTATGATCTTTGCTTTATTATTATAATAGCATTTCATGTCTTTTCTTCATATTATAAATTTTGTTTTTAAGCAGTACAGCTCATTTTTTAACATCCTTTAAAATCATTATATTAATTGAGGTGAATTTGATTTTTGACTTCTACCAAATGAAAAGCAACGTCTTTCAACAAACGAGTGATAAAGGAAAATATCGAATACTTTACTATTCTGTGTTTTCTGACATAAGGCCAGTTATCAACCTGTTCTGAATATCAACTTGGCTTGGTGGTTGAGATAAAAATTCTAACCCCTTGCTTTTATGACTCCTTAAGGTTACTACACTTTCTGTGTCTTGTATTTTCAAATGTTATTTAGGAAGAAAATAAACAAGAATTCTTAAAAGCATTTTTAATATAATTTTTATTTTATTTATTTTGAGGGGGGAGGTGGGGTCTCACTTGCCTGGGCTAGAGTGCAGTGGTAGGATCATAGCTTACTGCAACCTCAAACTTCTGGGCTCAAGCGATTCTCCTGCCTCAGCCTCCGGAATAGCTGGAACTACTAGCGTTTGCCACCATGCCCAACTAATTTTCCTAATTTTTTATAGAGATGGGTCTCAGTATTGCTCAGGCTGGTCTGAAACTCCTGGTTTCAATCAATCCTCCCATCTCGGCCTCCCAAAGTACTAGGATTACAGGTGTGAGACACCACACCTGGCCTCTAATTTTTAGCTATTTTTAATGGTACTCAGAATTAGAATATAAAGCCTTTAAAATGAAACATTGGGCCGGGCATGGTGACTCACACCTGTAATCCTAGCACTCTGAGAGGCCCAGGCGGGTAGATCGTTTGAGCTCAGGAGTTCAAGACCAGCCTGAGTAAGAGCAAGACCCTGTCAATACTAAAAAAATAGAAAGAAATTAGCTGAACAACTAAAAATATATATAGAAAAAATTAGCCGGACATGGTGGCGCATGCCTGTAGTCCCAGCTACTCAGGAGGCTGAGGCAGGAGGATCGCTTGAGCCCAGGAGTTTGAGATTGCTGTGAGCTAGGCTGATGCCATGGCACTCCAGCCTGGGCAACAGAGTGAGACTATGTCTCAAATAGATAGATAGATAGATAGATAGATAGATAGATAGATAGATAGATAGATAGATAGATAGATAGATAGATAGAAAGAAATATTGATGAGAGTGCTACAGCCTACTGAAAAGCCTAAATGGTTAATTACATTATATTACTAAATATTAGCAACTTCGTTAATAAAATCTCTCAGGCTGAGCTTCACTCTTTTTTTTGTTTTTGGAGATAGATTCTCTGTCACCTGGGCTATCGTGCAGTGGCATCATGATAGTTCACTGCAACCTCAAATTCCTGGGCTCAAGCAATCCTCCTACAGCCTCCCGAGAAGCTGGGACTACAGGTGTACACCACCACTCCTGGCTAACTTTATTATTTTGTAGAGATGGGGTCTTGCTATGTTGCTCACGCTAGTCTCAAACTGGCCTCAAGCAGTCGTCCTAGTACAGCCTCCGAAAGTGGTAGGATTATAGGTGTGAGCCATGGCGACCAGCCCCTGAGCTTTACTTTTATTTGTTCTTATTTCCCATAGAGATTCTCATTTTAATAAGTGTATTTAAAATATATACTAAGCCACAGACATTTTACTAGGTAATGATTTTTGTAATCAACTATTGCTTACTTATAATGACTAGTTTCCCCACCAAAATTAATGTTTTTTTTTGTTTGTTTGTTTGTTTTTAAGAAAAAATAGCTAGATGCAGATCATATAAAACATACATGCAGGCTGTCTTGTTCTTTTGGGGCTTATGCATGTTTTCTGTATTTTCCTCCCTCTTTTCTCTATTCCTGGAATTTTCTTCTTTTCTCTTTTATTAAATTAATCTAGTATTTTCTTGGCTCAAATAAGTAAATCCTTTAAATCTCTAAGGAAAAAGAAGTAGACTAGCCAAATGCATTTTGTTTTGAAGGTTTAAACAATGACATGTTTTAGTTTCTTGTTGAATATATTATCTATCTTTTGTGTTAATCAAGTGATATAAGATAGTTCATTTAGATGTAGGAATATTGTCTGTCCATTTTTGCATAAGTATTATAATAATTATTGAGAAATTCTTAAATGCCACCTTGACATATATGTAGTTAGGAAATTTTTCTGTCTCTGTGCATATCCTCTGATTCTAAAGATAAACTTAAGGGTTCTAAAAGCTCTTGCAGTAATGTCTGTGATTTTTCTAATTTTTCAGTGATGAGTTCATTGCTGTTTAACAAATACACATACCCATCTATTTATAGAGTAGAATAATATGAAATAACCTGAATCAGCTGTGAAAAATAGCATTGCTTCTGTGTAAAAACTATAAATTAGTGCATCATTGTTTTAGAAGAAAAGGGAAACAGTATAACACTTCACTCTGGTATCATTTTATAATGAGATGAAATAATCTGCTTCATGTAATTTTGAGGAGGAAGTGGATATAAAAAGAGTCATTTAAAAAAATGACTTAAATGCACTCACTAGTAATACTTCCCTCTCTCTTTCCCTGAAAACTCTACAATAAAATAATGGCTAAAAGTAATTATAAAAATGACAAGTTTATGCAATGATTATTTTAAGAAGGTATGATTTTGGTTGTTACAGATAGCTAATGTAACTACATAGACTTATAATTAACCACCCACTCACTATCCTCATGATTCCAAAATGATAAAGCCACAAGTAGACATTTAGAATGCTGTTTTTTAGGGAGTGGATTAGTAGGAATGAGGGTGGAAGGACCTGGCACTGAAGAGTAATTGCATAGAGTGGTACCACACTTTCTACCATTCTTACTCATCTTTACAGTGTAGAGTGGACAAAAAAGAGAAAAACTGAAACAGAACTGCGTTTGCCACTTTTTGTCTCATCTTGCCCTGAGATTCTGAGAGAATCTTTTAAATGTTCTCCTCTGGCTTACTTTCACACTGGCGTTCCTTAAGACACTGAGAAGCTAGATCACTCATGGAACGTGAATAGAGCTGCCTTAGACTCATATTGCTGGATACATGCTGCTCCTGCCTACAGTTTTGGGATTTCCCCGAAAAGACTATCTCCTCAGAGGTTGTTCTTTCATTAACCAATTGCCTCATACATCATTTGTGTAGTATACAATAGGCATATCAAGATATAAATAAGAGGTGATTTCTGCTTTCTAAAAAAGTCATTTACAAATATCAATAACACAATCCTAGCACTCTGAGAGGCTGAGGCAGGCGGATTGCTTGAGGTCAGGAGTTCGAAACCAGCCTGAGCAAGAGTGAGACCCCATCTCTACTATAAATAGAAGAAATTAATTGGCCAACTAATATAATAGAAAAATTAGCCAGGCATGGTGGCGCATGCCTGTAGTCCCAGCTACTCGGGAGGCTGAGGCAGCAGGATTGCTTGAGCCCAGGAGTTTGAGGTTGCTGTGAGCTAGGCTGACACCATGGCACTCACTCTAGCTTGGGCAACAAAGCAAGACTCTGTCTCAAAAACAAAACAAACAACAACAAAAAAACTAAAAACAAATATCAGTAACACAGATTTAAAAAACATAAAAAGGCCGGGCACAGTGGCTCACGCCTGTAATCCTAGCACTCTGGGAGGCCGAGGCAGGAAGTGTTGAGTCAGGAGTTCGAGACCGAGCTGAGCAAGAGCGAGACCCCATCTCCACTATATAAAGAAATTAATGGCCAACTAATATATATAGAAAAATTAGCCGGCATGGTGGCACATGCCTTGTCCCAGCTACTCGGAGGCTGAGGCAGGAGGATCGCTTGAGCCCAGGAGTTTGAGGTTGCTGTGAGCTAGGCTGACGCCACGGCACTCACTCTAGCCAGGGCAACAAAGCGAGACTCTGTCTCCAAAAAATAAAAAAAAAATAATAAATAAAAGGAGTGAATGAACAGAGAATATACAGGGACTATACAGAGGAGATCAGAATTCCTTTTAGGGTAGAGATAAAGGAAGGCTTCATGACAGAAGAGATAATTAAGCTTTTGTTCTCTCGTTTTGATTGAACTTTTATTGTTTTTAATTGAAAGTAATTACATATTGTGAAGGCTTATGGGCAGTGTTGAATGGTAGAAATACTTAGTCCTAAAACAATGTCAGATTGAGATGTTGAGTAAATTTGTTATCATGTATGTAATACTTGCGCCCTTCTGATACAATTTTTAAAATTCAGTGGTGTTAGGCTGGGTGTGATGGCTCACGCCTGTAATCTTAGCACTCTGGGAGGCTGAGGCAGGAGGATTGCTTGAGGGTCAGGAGTTTGAGACAAGCTCGAGCAAGAGCAAGATCCCATCTCTACAAAAAATAGACAACCTAGCAGGATGTGTTGGTGCACACCTGTAGTCCCAGCTACCCTGGAGACTAAGGCAGGAGGATCCCTTGAGCCTAAGAGTTGGAGGTTGCAATGAGCTATGATGACACCACTGCACTCTAGCCCGGTGACAGAGAGACTCCGTCTCATAAAAAAAGAAAAAAAAAATCAATAGTGTTAAAAATGAGAAAGCAACTTATCAGAACGCCCTATTGTACAGAGTTCTTGATTGTTTTAGAGAAAGGACCTTTTGGTTTTCTTTAGTAAATTTGCATAATACAAGTTTGTATATTCTGTTTCTGCTTTATGGTAATCAAAGCCCCAACTTGAACCCTTCTAAGCAGATACAGGAGAATATAAGAGACTTTTGTGGGATCATAGAGACAGGCCAGTAGCTGTGGTTCTGGCCCTCCCACCTTGCAATATACTGGCAGCTTAGTAATGATTTCATGAGCAAAACAAGCTTTAAAATTTCAGAAAATATATCATTTTCTTTTTTCATGGGAGGAGGAAAGGGATAGATAGAAAAGGATAGCAGAAAATCATAAATGAAGGGGACAGTACAAAATCTAAGTGCTGGGAGGTTACTGGTTAACATTTACATTAGAAAGTTAGTCAATTTTTTTCTTCCATTTTTAAAGATAATGAATTATCCATTTGAATTATGATGACCTACTTTCTCCCATTAAACCTTGCAATGTATCTTGAGACTGAAGATACATACAAAGATGTGAATTTAAAGAAAGCTGTAGACAGCACTACTGTCTTCAGCAAAAGATGACTTTTCAGCTCTTAGTTTATTTAGAGAAAGTTACAAAAGAGATGAGGAAAAACAGGAGAAGGGGGTATGCCATAGGCCACCAGACTGAGGATGCACATCTGGAGCAGGTGCCAAGAAGTAAGCTAATTTCTTAGGCCTCAATTTCATTATCTGCAGAATTAAAGGGCTGGATTCAAAGGTTGTGTCAGGCTGTAGGAATCATTGTTGATTATTTGACTTGAATGGGAGAAAATCTTGAGTTTTTATTGAGCTTAATTTGTAACTTCACTATACTTCTGGCTCATTGGCATCTGACATGAAGAGTAGGAATGAGAAAAAAACCAACTGTTCACTTTCACCTTTCATCTTGCCTTGCCATTCCGGATCAGAGGGACAGTATGAATGCTCTCCTGGTGACCTAGGAGTGGATGAGACAGGGAGAGAAACATGGAGTTTCTAGGAGCACAGTCTTCTTTTTTGCTGACAACCTAGTTCTGATTGAGAGACTATGGATGGTAAAATTAAAATACTGCTTGGAGTCTACTACAATCAGGTACATGAGGGATAATGAGAATTTTATGCAGATGCTTGGCCTCTTGAATTTTCTATATGTACATGAAAATTATTTAAAAGTCTTTTTCTTCAAAATAAATTCCAAATCTAGAGTGTAAGCAAACTGAAAAATAAATCTGCTCTAATTTGTTACCTCTTTTTCTTAACTCAAAAATATCTTCTGAGTCAACTCTTAATTATTGAAGGGTTAATCATTTGTAGTTATCAAAGCACTTATCTTCACCACCTCTCTCTGCCTCCTGCTTTTTGTCTAGTGACCTCTTAAATGCTTTTGCTGTCCAGGAGGTTTAGCTAATTTTGGGTAAAGTAAAAATTTGTGGATTATCTGTGAGTTGGATTGATCTTTGCCAATTTCATCCTATTTTGGGGTACTACAGCTGCTAATTTTTAACAATTGTGAATTCTAAATTACATATTTTGTTAGAGCAGTGGAATGGCAGAGAAAGTTCAGGTGCATTGAGTGAGCATTATACTGTAAATAGTATCATCTATTAGGCATTCCTAAGTGGGCATCCTTACCCATTCATTAGGAATGCCTAATAAATGCCAAGTATTAGAGAATCATGTTCAGATGATAATAAATTGCTGGGACCCAGAGAAAATTATTTATATATATTAAATATGGTATAAAATATTGACATAGGGTAAAATGCTGGCAAAAGAAATTATTTTTAAAGAGTAAAAAATTCTGCATCTTGAGGTGGTTAACATAAAAGGCAGTGAACTGTATGCTTTTGTTTGTAATAGTTGGCAGGAATATTTTAGAACATAAAATTCCTTTATTTTGAACCTTTGTATTTCTTTTTTTCTTTCAGGCTAATTTGTGTTTCGTGGATATTGACAACCATTTCATTGAGTTGCCTGAAGAATTTCCACAGTTCCCCAATAAAGTAGATTTTATCCAGGAGCTGTCTGAAGTTCTTCTTCAATTTGGGATCCCTCCTGAGGGCAGCCTACATTGCAGTGAGAGTGCCACCAAACTGAAGAATCTAGTCCTGAAAGACTTGGTTAATGACAAAAAGAATGGCAATGTCTCCACTAATAACATCAGCATGTATGAGTTACTGAAGGGCAATGAAACCATAGCACGTCTGCAGGCTCTGGCCAAACGGACGGGTGTGGCTGTGGAAAAAATGGATCTCCCTGCCTCTCTGGGTGAAAAAGACAAGGACTTAAAACTGCAATGTGAAGAGGCAGAACTAAGGGACTACCAGCTCAATGTACAGCTCCGAGAGGTCTTTGCTAACCGCTTTACACAGATGTTTGCAGATTATGAAGCGTTTGTGATTCAAACTGCCCAGGACATGGAATCCTGGCTGACCAACCGGGAACAAATGCAGAACTTTGACAAAGTAAAAAGAATCAGAATTTCCCTTTTTGTGGTTGTTAATGGGCTACATTATTGATTTTGTTAATCTTTTTTAAACAAAAAATTTTCTTCTCTTCCATCCCATTAAAGAACTTTTCTTTTTAGACAGTCTCACTTTGTTGCCCTGGCTAGAGTGCTGTGGCGTCAGTCTAGCTCACAGCAACCTCAAACTCTTGGGCCCAAGAGATCCTCCTGCCTCAGGCTCTGGAGTAGCTGGGACTACAGGCATGCGCCACCATGCCGGGCTAATTTTTTCTATATATTTTTAGTTGGCCAATTAATTTCTTTCTATTTTTAGTAGAGACGGGGTCTCGCTCTTGCTCAGGCTGGTTTCGCTGACCTTGAGCTGTCCGCCTGCCTGGGCCTCCCAGAGTGCTAGGATTACAGGCGTGAACCACCGTGCCTGGCCAAGAACTTTTCTTTACCAGTATTTTACACTATATAAAATAATTTCACAAGAAAACAAATCAGCTAGCTCATTAAACCACTCATTAAATTGCATATTATATTACCTATAATCTCATTTTAAAATTTTCCATATTTTGATGATGCTGCAATTATAGAAACTGTTAAATTTCACAAGTTTTCAAATCTGTTAACACTGACTTTGTAAGGGTTAAATTTACTCTTATTTTATGATGAAATCTAGTTAAATGAGAGGCCTATTCCTTTTCTAAAAACTCATTTAGTCTTCATTCTATAAAGAAGTCACATCTTGCCTATATAAAGGTAACAGTTTAGTTTCAAAAGCCAATTTTTGATTTCTTTTTAGGATCAAAAGAAAAAGAGTGACTAAACTAGGTTTTATGACTATAAGTCTAAGACTCTGTTACAGTGTTTTTGGGAAGATAGAAAATGACACCAGCTTTAGCTTCTTTTTAAAGTTTACTATATTCTTCTGCCAGATTTTCTTCACCTATTCCCCCAGATTTTTTTTTCAAACAAAAGCACTTAGGAATGGATGTACATTAACTTTTTTAGATTACCAGGGTATGGTTTAATCCCCTGCCTCTGTGATTGCCGAGACATCATCCCAACGCTGCTGTTACAATGAATCATGGCTTTTGCTAAGTGCCCTCTTCGTGTCATGAAAAGCCTCCCAAAGGGGCTGATACACTTCAAGGGACTAATCTACAATCTTGGAACATCTGACAAATAGTAGTAATTAAAAATCTGTGTAAAGATGCATAGTATAAAAGATAATTTATGACTTCATCAGATTTTTTTTTCTGATGAAGGATAACATAGCATGTTGAACACTTAAGTTCTGATGTATTATACTTTATGTATGAGAAGACTTCTTTAATATTAAGAAGCCTTAACTCCTCCAAATGTATTCCCTCTAAATTCCTTTCTCATTAAGCTTAACCATTTTCCACACTTTTTCCAGCTTGGAGCTCTGTGTACATCCATGGTTTATCCCTAGGGCAATTCAAGTTCTTATTTAAATCAAGCCCTGATATATTCTTCCTCCTTAATCTTTATGTAGCTTCAAACTATAAATGAAATTCTTTTTATATAACCCCTAAAGAAATGAAAGTTTAATGTTAGATTCCACAAAGCTTGTAATCATCTCATTTTTCACTAGGAATATTTGTAGGACATACTGGTCCTACAAGCCAAATCTTTGTTGACCTTAAATGTTATAGTCCTTGAGGGTCTGAACATCAAAAGCCAGATATTTGGGTCTGAACCTTGAGGGTCTGAACATCAAAAGCCAGACCTATTTAAAAAACAAGCCTATTTATCTATAAAAAGTAAAATTAATGTTTATCTATAAAATGCCTTTTGAGGAGTTGAACTGATTTCTAGAGATGACTGTGTCTCTTTTCTCTGATTATATGGATTTATGTGTAAACATCTGCACTATGGAAGTAGTTAAATTCAATACATGGATTTCTGTAAGGAAGCTTTTAAAAGGCCTCCTAAATTTCAAAATGAAAGATAAATATGGGCCGGGTGCAGTCGCTCACACCTATAAATCCTAGCACTTTGGGAGGGCAAGGCAAGAGGATCACTTGAGGCCTGGAAGGAGTTTGATCTTGAGTTAACACTCATACAGCCTAGAAAAATGTCCACTTGAAGAACAAAAAGATTTTACCCATAAGCACAGATTCCATGTTGTCGTTTTTAAGGTTATTGCTAATGTATATATCATTACTGTATCAGTTAATCATCTCCCTGCATTATGGCTTAGGAATACATTACATAGGCTAGGAATAGAGATCAGAAGAAATTACAGCTCACTGGAGAAAGGGATCAAAATGGTAAGTGAAGTGGGTGATTGATAGTCGTATAGCAACTTATCTACCATCTTTCATTAATGATGCCCTCTTTTCTACATAATGGTCACAAGGATCAGAATGTAAGTCAGTTCTGTAAGGTAAGATCAGTGCTAAAGACCCAAGTGACCTAAATTCTGAATTTAGAAGACTGAAGGAGTAGATTTTTGAAGAATTTTGAACTTCAAGTGTCAGTTTTGTGTGTTACAAAATTTAAAAAGAATTATCTTAGCAACATAATTTTCAGACTTATCATGTAATAGTGAAATGGTCTCTTTGCACTAATGTTTTCCTAATTATCTCCTTACAGGCTTCCTTTCTGTCTGACCAGCCTGAGCCTTACCTGCCATTTCTTTCACGCTTCATTGAAACACAGATGTTTGCCACCTTTATTGATAATAAAATTATGTCTCAATGGGAAGAGAAAGATCCTTTGCTTCGGGTCTTTGACTCTCGGATTGATAAGATAAGGCTGTATAATGTAAGGGCACCCACCCTGCGGACATCTATATATCAGAAATGTAGCACTTTAAAAGAAGCAGGTACGTTTGCCATGCCTTTTTAAATTAAATTACAATTCATGATCATTTATTTTTACATATTGTCAGCCTTATATGCCACAAAATTAATTTTCAGTTTTAAACTTTATGGCTAATCCTGGTGCTATAGGAAGAAGTGCTTAATATAATTTTCTCTCTTTTTCTATAAGTCCCTATTCCTAGTTGACATTCCTCTTCCCTTAGTCAGAAAAGGAAAAGCAATAATAAATTGAATCAACTATAACTAGAAGGTTGCTATGTTTTTTTGTTTTATTCTCTGTATTGCCTTAATGGAAAAAGTGTTTATTTCTATCTTGCCAGTGTGTTTCCTCTTCTCACCTCTTTTCTCTTTGTCTATGAAAACAGGTAGTCATTTAAAATATTATTAGCTTATCTGAGATCCTTCTTAATTTATGTAATGAAAATAGTATATTTACTTTAGTAGTGCCATTAATTATAATGGCTTCACTTACTGAAATTAAATCTCTGGATTCTTGCCTTTGAATTAGAGGTTCCCCCAACTCTGACACCAGTTTTTCCCTCAGTCAGAGAATTATGAGTCTTGGCCAGTCTGTCTCGCAGTATAATATAGTCCATTAAATAAATAATCATATTAATAGCCAACATTTACATAGTACCATGTGCCAGTCCTTTTTTTTTTTTTTTTTGAGACAGAGTCTCACTTTGTTGCCCTGGCTAGAGTGCTGTGGCGTCAGTCTAGCTCACAGCAACCTCAAACTCTTGGGCCCAAGAGATCCTCCTGCCTCAGGCTCTGGAGTAGCTGGGACTACAGGCATGCGCCACCATGCCGTGCTAATTTTTTCTATATATATTTTAGTTGGCCAATTAATTTCTTTCTGTTTTTAGTAGAGACAGAGTCTTGTGTATGCTCAGGCTGGTTTCGAACTCCTGACCTTGAGCAATCCTCCTGCCTTGGCTTCCCAGAGTGCTAGGATTACAGGTGTGAGCCACCACGCCCAGCCTGTGCCAGTCCTTATACCAGATGTTTTTCATGCATTTTTACATTTGCTTTTAACGAGAGAATAAAGACACACTTATTTTTATTTTGTTTTATTACTGCTGTCTTCCTCTTACAGTTGAGAATACTGAGAGGTTAAGTAACTTGCCTATGGTTTCATAGCTAGTGATTGGAAGCCTTAATACCATGTTAGCTATTTCATCCAATAAATAAATATGTAAAATGTTATCAATTCACTCAATTTTATACATTTATGCCTGGTTCCTAACCTGTTCTTTCCCAAATAGACAGATATCTATTATCTGGGTGCCCCTTCGTTTTATTTCTTTTCCTTCAAATGTAGAAGATATTTGAGAGCAACTTTTCCACCAGAAAAAAGGAAGCAGCAAATGTTGAGCTTCTTTGCTCTGCCTTGCTTATTTGCTGGCCTTTCCTACTTTACTTAAATAGATCAAAGTCAGGAGTGGTGATGCTGCAGTTTTAGCATATTTAAGAAAGGAAATATGTAAATGATACCTTTATATAACTGTAGAGGTCTCTTGAAACTTCACCCTATTGTATTCCCCAGTATAAGGGTAGAGCGCCTTCAGGAAGTGGCAATTACCTCTGGGTTTCAGGAAATTAAGTTTTCAGGAAATGAAATTGTCGTGTTTGTTCAGAAAATAATATGACTTCCGGTGCTTTAATAGCCTTATGAATAGTATAATGCCTTGTTGGGAAATTTTCATTTCTCCCTTCCTGACAGAATTTTTTAAATGGAGCTAAACACTGGTTCCTTAATTTGTGTGCTGCCAGAAAGTCTTTCCAATTAGACAGATTTCCTTTCAGCCTCTGAGAGAGTTTGGTACTCCCACTGTTGTAACAGATATTATATAATACTTTTTTGAAAATGTACAATTGTGGATTTAAAATATATGAAAATGATTAGGCTAAAGCAGGAGTCTTCCAGGAACTTAATTTACCAAGAATTTTTTTTAAAAGAGAGAGGAGATAGCTGACTGTGGCTATGCCTGCCTATCACAAATGATGCAGGTATTTCTTTTAAGAGATAAGTTTGTCTTCTCCCACAAAAAAAGCTATAAAGATTGGAATGTTGTTGTCGATGTTGGATTCTTATTGTATATATTTTTTCTTTTGTTGTGCTTTTGCTTTTGTTTTACCTCTAACCAAGAAGAATTTTGATTTACAGGTGAACTCTTTAGGCATAGGCTATCTGCTGTTGATATTATGGCACCAGAACCTTACGATTTCTGTGCAGAAAGACAAGTTGATAGTAATATGGTTTTCTTTTTCCTTACCAATCACAGCAGATGAATATTGGCACAAACCCTTGAAAATCTAACAATAGACCCCTGACCTTTCAAAGCAGGCATTTAATAATTTCTGAATGTTCAGTATTCACTGGTGATATAATCACTGAAAAATAGCATTGTATTATGCTCCTTGTGGCAGCTTTCAATATAAACCCTGGAGTGAATCATGATTTTTGTTTCTAAAAAACTTCTCAGGTAAAGGAGAACAACTCAATATCAGATGAATTTCTCTGTCATTTTAAATTCAATGAAAAAACTCAAGCTACACTTCCTTTTTTTCCTCCCCTTTCATGAAGATAGAAGCATCCATTGGCATAGATGGAATTTTGTGACATTTCATGGAATATAAAATTGGCAGGGATTTCAGAGAATTCATGCCATGAATCTAGGCATAATTTTTCCTAAACTGTCCATTAATTATGTTTTATAAATATTACACAGCATAGAAAGTATACAGTTGTGGAAAGCCTGCAGACATTGTTAAAAGTTAAATATCATTTGACATTAAAACATGACATCCGAGCCGGGCGCGTTGGCTCACACCTGTAATCCTAGCACTCTGGGAGGCTGAGGCGGACGGATTGCTCGAGGTCAGGAGTTCAAAACCAGCCTGAGCAAGAGCGAGACCCCATCTCTACTATAAATAGAAAGAAATTAATTGGCCAACTAATATATATATAGAAAATTAGCCGGGCATGGTAGTGCATGCCTGTAGTCCCAGCTACTCGGGAGGCTGAGGCAGAAGGATAGCTTGAGCCCAGGAGTTTGAGGTTGCTGTGAGCTAGGCTGATGCCATGGCACTCACTCTAGCCTGGGCAACAAGCGAGACTCTGTCTCAAAAAAAAAAAAAAAAAATGACATCCTTTTGCCATGGATATTTTGCCCAGCATAGAACATATGGACTGTGTTTTAAGAGAAGTTACAAGTTATACATTAAAAATGTAATGAAATTCAAGACAGTTTTGGATAAATTCATGTGGGCTATGAGGGAACATTAAGGACACTTAAAGTTTATATTTAATATTTTGATGTTTAAGTCATAGAGGGCAGTAGTAACTTCCATAAAGTATCCCTTGGTACTACTATCAATCACAAATAATTGGCTTCCCATTTTATAATCTGACATAAAATGGCATTAAGCATGTTCTTTTGACAAAAGTGGGGAACATGGACAGAAACCTCCTCTCCAGAAAAGCTATAGAATATGTATGGGGAATAACCAGCAGGACTCAATCTACGAGTATTAAAAGGGGCAAAATAAACTGACTTTATGAAATATTTACAAAGGTACCTGTTCTAAGTCAGAAGATTAGCAGCTCCTATTTATTACACAAGCACAATTCTTTTTTTAGTAATCTCTACACAAAGGATTGGAGACCTAATCTTCTTTTCAAATATTGTATTTTCTCTTGACAATACAGTTGACAAAAAGATTTGGGGGTCTTTTTGTTTGTTTTTTTTTTTAGCTGAGAAATATTAATAGATCATTGTTTCTTGGGTCTTTGAGACATCTTCAACATCCCTTACTTTAAGTGGTTTTAAAATAGAAATGTTGAGTAATTCTTTTAACTTTGACCTATTTTATTCTTCAAGAGGCCAGTGTCTTATCCTCTGGACATTTTCTAAATGCCTGCTTATTTGACTTCTTTAACTTTTCTCTGTATTACCCTCTAGATCTAATAAACACTTCTAAATGACTCCTATTAATGGGAATGTGACTGTTGCTAAAAGTGAGGCAATAAACTTAACACAGTTCCTTGTTTTACAGATGGAGAACCATGAATATTTAATAGCTCTTTGCACAAGGAAATAAAACAATAAGACTACTGTGCTTGCTTCTTCCTTCCCTTTACATTGTCTTTCAGCTGAAGAAAATTATTTTGTCATCATTTTCTTTAACGTTGGAGTTTTTTTTGTTTGGTGTTTTTTTTTTGTTTTTTTTTTGAGACAAAGTCTCATGTTTTTACCCAGGGTAGAATGCAGTTGTGTCATCAGAGCTCTCTAACTGCTAACTCCTGGGCTCAAGAGATCCTCCTACTTCAGAGGCCTCCTGTAGCTGGGACTACAGGCGTGCCACTATGCCTGGCTAATTTTTTTCTATTTTTGGTAGAGATGAGGTCTTGCTCTTGCTCAGGCTGGTTTTGAACTCCTGACCTCCAGCAATCTTCCCACCTCATCCTCCCAGAGTGGTAGGATTACAGGCATGAGCCATCGCACCCAGCCTAATGTACGTAAAACCATATTTTCATGTAAGAATATTCCTACTTAAGGGAAACTATAAATACTGACTTAAGGATTTTTTCAACCCTGCTTTTGACAAAGGAAAACAATACCATGAAAATTAATCATCCAATATTTACCCCAAATTAACCTTTTTTATACTTACATGATAATGATTTCTGAAGAGTCTTTGTAAAAATCTATTATCAGAGTGTCAGAATGACTGAGCTCTCTGTAAGCGTATGAGTGGAGGAAGCATGATTTTTGAAAATGTAGCAATTAAATGTCTCTAATTTGTTACAAATTTAATTTATAGCCCAATCAATTGAGCAGAGACTAATGAAAATGGATCACACTGCAATCCATCCACATCTACTTGATATGAAAATTGGTCAAGGCAAATATGAGCAAGGGTTCTTTCCAAAGTTACAGTCCGACGTCTTGGCAACAGGACCAACCAATAACAAGTAAGCATGTTCTTCACTTGAGTGGTTGGTTGAAGGAATGAATGAAGGGTGGGATGCTCTGCAGTTATATTGCGCAGTGCTTAACCATTAAACATCTTATCTATCTGATTACTTTTTTCAAGACTGCATTAATGCATTTGAATGAGTCCTTTTTTTGGAGATAGAATCTCACTTTGTTGCCCAGGCTAGAATGAGTGCCATGGCATCAGCCTAGCTCACAGCAACCTCAAACTCCTGGGTTCAAGTAATCCTGCTGCCTCAGCCTCCCTAGTAGCTGGGACTACAGGCATGTGCCACCTTGCCCGGCTAATTTTTTCTATATATATTAGTTGGCCAATTAATTTCTTTCTATGTATAGTAGAGACAGGGTCTCACTCTTGCTCAGGTTGGTTTCGAACTCCTTAGTTCAAACGATCTGCCCGCCTCAGCCTCCCAGAGTGCTAGGATTATAGGCATGAGCCACTGCGCCCGGCCTTGAATGAGTCTTTTAATTTAAAAAAAAAATTCCAGAGTCTGGAGATTTTTTTTTTCTTTTTCAAATAAAGTACATTTGGGAATAGTCATACTTTAAATAACCATGTTTAAATATAGTGCTAATCATGTTACCACCCAACTGGGTTCTTTTTTTTTTCGAGACAGAGTCTCACTCTTGCTTAGGCTGGTCTCAAACTCCTGGGCTCAAGCTATCCTCCTGCCCCCACCTCCTGTAGTGCTAGGATTGCAGGCATGAAGCTGAGGCTAGGTTTTTCAAGGATGGCTTCATGAGGAGTGGCTAGGGAACTGGTACTGCTGATTGAGTTGGGGTGAAATCATGGGGATGTAAAAATTGTCATCTTGCACTGAGTCAGTTCCTGGCAGGGGGCGGGGGGACACAAGACTAGTTGAGTCAATTCCTTGGTATGGTCTGGTTGGGTTAGTTGGTCCATGGAATGTAGGGTCTAGAAGATATCTCAAAGACCAGGCTTGGGTTTCACAATGGTAATGTTATCTATGAGAGCAATTAAGAAAGCTACGAATCTTATGATCATCAGTTATGTGACTCCTGAGTAGTAAGCAATTATAGGAAAGCAAGCTAGGGAACAATGGCTGGTTATTTTTTTAACTATGAATATACCTTTGCAGAGTTTAGGCCCCTACCACACTTGATACCTTGCAGCCCTTTATTTTATGAAGGGCAATTTCAATTGTATCTAATGGAATTTAGAAAAGTTACACTTGTACTATCTGTATTAGTTTCCTAGGGCTGCTGTAGTTTATACTAAAGTCTTGAGGAGAAAGTTTATTAGAATTTAATAAGCTGCTTATAAGACAGAAGCCAGTAACTAATGACTGAATTTTTTTTTGAGACAGAGTCCCGTTCTGTTGCCTGGGCTAGAGTGCTGTGGCGTCAGCCTAGCTCATAGCAACCTCAAACTCCTGGGCTCAAGCAATCCTCCTGCCTCAGCCTCCTGAGTAGCTGGGACTACAGACACTTGCCACCATGCCCGGCTAATTTTTTTCTGTTTTTAGTAGAGACAGGGTCTCACTCTTGTTCAGGCTGGTCTCAAACTCCTGACCTCAAGCAGTCCTCCTGCATTGGCCTCCCAGAGTGCTAGGGTTACAGGCGTGAGCCACCACGCCTGGCCTTAATGACTGAAATTTTTATCTTACTTACCTTAGTTTTCAGGGTTTTAACCTCTAGTAAAGAGCTATAGCTACTTGTAAACACTGAACTTAAAAATGTGCAGAGATATGTTGATGCTTGTGAGGGTTCAAACTTTCCACATCATGATTCTAGATACAGTATCCTATTTTTCAGAAGTAGATGAGAATTATGAGAATCTTCCATTAGAACAGATTAGTCATTAGTTTATTTTTTTCTTATAAAGTAACCTAATTATATGAATCACTCTGATCTTGGTAGACTATTAGTTTAACAGTTTTTATTTCCCTTTAATAGCACTAGATTGCTCTTTCATTCATTTGGCAGATCTTTATGAAACTCCAAATGTAGGTGAAGATTGTCCTATTCACCAGGAGTTTAGTAATGAACAAAACAACAAGAATCTCTGCTTTCAAGTGCAAAGAGACAGACAATAAAAAAGTAATGTGTAAAATAAGTAACGTGTCAGATAATGATAAGGGTTATGAAAAAAACACTTCTTGGACAAAGTCTCAAAGGTGAGCAGCCTTATCCCATTGGAAATACCAAGGTAGTTAAAAATTGCTGGAGTTTTAAAGTAGAAAGAGTGATCAGCAGTACTAAATATAGAAGAGAGTTAGAATAAGCTAAGGATTGAATAATGGCCATTGGCTTTGGCACGTGGGGGTTTCAGTGGCTTTGTGGATGGCATTTTCAGAAGAAGGACTTATAAATTGAAGATCTAAAGGTAAATAAGTAGAAGACTTACATCAAAATGCTTGTAAGAATTTTTACATGAGAGGAGTGAAGAAAGAGATTTACACATCACTATAGAGGGCCAAGAGGGAGACCAGCATGCTTGTAAGCTGAGGGGATTCAGTTGAGAGAGAAGAATTGGCAATACAGCAAAGGAGGTGACTAATGAGCAAGTTGAAAAAGGAAAGAGGCAATTGGTCAAGGATGCAGATAGGAACAGGCACAGTGACTCACTCCTACACTCCCAGCACTTTAGGAGGCCAAATCGCTTGAGCCCAGGAGTTCAAGAACAGTCTGGGCAACATAGTCAGACCCCATCTCTACAAAAAAATTTAAAAACTAGCCAGGTATGGTGGTCTGTGCCTGTAGTCCCAGCTATTTGGGAGGCTGAGGCAGAAAGATACTTGAACCCGGGAGTTCAGTGCTGCAGTGAGCTATGATTATGCCACTGTACCCCAGTCTGGGTGACTGAGAGAGACCCTGTCTCAAAATAAAACAAATAAAATAAAATAATAAAATATAAAAATCTTTTTAAAAGAATGCAGGTGGAAGAAATAGTTTTGAGCTCTGGCTAATATAGTTTATACTTTGAGATGAAAAGAAAGATGAAGACGTCTGTGTGTATGCCTCATTTCAGTAGAGGGCAAGAGGTAGTAGGCAAGGATGGGTCATCAGTTGAGCAGTGGTACTTAATGGGGGTCTTTGAGGGGAGTGAGGAAGAGTTGATAAAGGGCAGGTAGGTGACTCATGGGCAGTCATGAGGGAAATCAGGAACTAGTCTATAAGGTATGAAAGCAGGTAAGAGAGAGAGTGGTCTTCATCTAGGCCAATAAGTCAAGAGAGAGAAGATAATTACAAAGGAGAAGGTGCTAGTGTGGGAGTACTTTAGTGGTTTAGCACAGGATTTAGGGTCAGAACAGAAAGAGAAAATGTGAAGGGTCCTAAGTGGGAGTCAAGGCACAGGAGAGCCAGTGTAATCAGGCATGGGGGTCAATGTATAAGATAATGGAGGCCAGGCATGGTGGCTCATGCCTGTAATCCTAGCACTCTGGGAGGCCAAGGCAGGCAGATTGCTCGAGGTCAGGAGTTCAAAACCAGCCTGAGCAAGAACCCGTCTCTACTAAAAATAGAAAGAGATTAATTGGACAACTAAAAATATATATACAAAAAATTAGCCGGGCATGGTGGCACATGCCTGTAGTCCCAGCTACTTGGGAGGCTGAGACAGGAGGATCGCCTGAGCCCAGGAGTTTGAGGTTGCTGTGAGCTAGGCTGATGCCACGGCACTCACTCTAGCCTGGGCAACAAAGTGAGACTCTGTCTCAAAAAAAAAAGAAAAAGTTCTAAATTTGAAGCCAGGTGTAAAGGCACGTACCTGTAGTCTCAGCTGCTTGGGAGTCTGAGGTGGTAGGATCACTTGAGCCCAGGAATTGGAGGCTGCAGTGAGCTGTGATCATTGCCTATGAATAGTCACTTGCTATGTTACCCAGCCTGGGTAACATAGCAAGACCTCATCTCTTAAAAAAATAAAAATTTTTTTAAAGTTGGAAACTCTATACATTTCTATGGTTCTTTTAGAGCACTAGAATTAAGTAATTCTAAATTATGAATTTTGAAAATACTCTCCTTTGTGTTAAAAGAATATTCATCCATAATATTTACTTTGAGCAAGTCAAGGCATCCCTATTACATGTCTAATATAATCAAGTACTAACTCAATTAAGATCTGATTTATTATATATACAGATATATAAAGTGTATTGATACTGTGCCTTTTTTAACCTCAGTTTTTAAAAATACTGATTTTGGTGATAGCTGCACATGTGTGTGAATATACTAAAAACTCTTGGTTTGTATGCTGTAATTGGATGAATTGTATGTTATTTTAATTATATCTTAATAAAGCTGTTATATATTTTAAAAAGAATTGATTGAAAAATAGGTATTGTCAGTCTTTTGTATCAGTTAATCCTTTCTGTTTTAAAGATAAGAACCACTTTTTTTCTTACTTGGTTGTTTGTTTCAGTCGCTGGGTAAGTCGGAGTGCCACAGCACAGCGCAGGAAAGAACGCCTTCGCCAGCATTCAGAGCATGTTGGGCTGGACAACGACTTGAGGGAGGTATGTGGACTGCCTTCCTGGGTGCCTCGAAGCAAGAGCCGTGAACTAGGCATGTTTAACCCAGCAGATGTCATTATGTAGGTTCTTTTGTGTTCTCTTAAAAAATGAGGCTGGGCGTGGTGGCTCACGCCTGTCATCCTAGCACTCTGGGAGGCCAAGGCAGACGGATTGCTCAAGGTCAGGAGTTCGAAACCAGCCTGAGCAAGAGCGAGACCCCATCTCTACTATAAATAGAAAGAAATTAATTGGCCAACTAATATATATAGAAAAAATTAGCTGGGAATGATGGCGCATGCCTGTAGTCCCAGCTACTCGGGAGGCTGAGGCAGTAGAATTGCTTGAGCCCAGGAGTTTGAGGTTGCTGTGAGCTAGGCTGACGCCACGGCACTCACTCTAGCCTGGGCAACAAAGTGAGACTCTGTCTCAGATAAAAAAGGGTTCAGTTATATTTTAAAATATTAGTCCTTTTGTACTGGCTTATAGCAGAAAACACCTTTTTTCCATTTTTGTAATTTTCATACTTCTAAAATAAGGCTCTAAAACAAGTCTTTCTGTGTACTACATCAAGTAAAGGCTAGGTTTAGGATAAATTGCTAGTCAGTATGTCTCCTGTAGGGAGAAAAACTCATACAAGAAACGTAGACATTTCTAAGTTTCAGGCATAATTTAATTATAGTAAGTAAAGACGTATTTACCTATGCTTTCTTCTTGGTTTGCTCAAACCACTTTTAAAAGTGTTTTTAAACTATGTTTAAATTAAGTTCCTTATGGTTTATTTGTACTCTTTGAAAATAGAACCATAATTATACAAATGAATAATTATAAATAAGTTTTTATTATTTCTTTTGATCAGAAAAATCATGATAGTGGATTATCAGAACTTATTAGTGTTACTAAAATTGGTTATACAACCTCCCACTGCTGAATTTGGCTAAAACAAAAAAAACCATAGTCAGAAGACCTGTTATCTGTTTTCTAAACTCAAATGTATAGAAATAAAGCAGAAAACATCATTCCAAACATTTATTTTTTTTGTTAATGTGTTCATACATGTTAATATATGATTTTAATCATTTTCTTAAGAACTAAAGCATCACCTGTTTAGTGCTTTTCTTTTGCTACCATATTCTCTCCCCTTCCCTTTTGCTGTGATATTATCATATATGCATGCTTGTTCTGCTTGTCTCTTTCTCCCTATCCTTTTCTTTTTGCTTTTCTGTCATTGGCACTTCTCCATCCTCTTAGCCTTCCCCGGAACTTTTGGTCTGTCAGAACTCCATGGCATTCTGGGAGTGGGATCAGGGTCTACCTCCTCCTGCACGACTTCCTAAAAAATCCTTCTCTGAGTGCTGCCTGGTATGTCCTTTGCCCGAAAGTGGTTTACCGGCTGCTCCCCAATCTTGTCTTTGTTGTTACTTGAGTGATACACACGTGTGAGTGCACATAGCACATAGCTCTAGAATGCCTCACACCACCTGGTGATGGGAACTCGGCCTCTCCATTTTGCTCTCTGCTTCCTATTGTGTTTGGTGCCTTTTTGTGATGGTGTGTACTAATGTGAGTGATTCTATGCTGTTGACATATAAAACTGATCATTCACATCTCTCATCAGTGGGATTTTTTTTTTGTACCCCGATAGCAAATTGCTTTTCTTCCAAAGAGGAAATATATTAAATATACAAACTCCCCTTTATTTAAGCATTTTCCAGAAGCACAGAAGTGATTCCATTTCAAACAGTTTTTCTTTTGCTGTGTTTTATTTCCACAGCATTTTAATTTACTCTTCCTGGTCTGTATTTTATGTGTTCAGAAAATTCAGTCATCAATATAGTTTCTTAGTGCTAAGAGGAACTTTTGAGGTCATCATGTCCAATTTGACACGATTTAACTGAAGTCCGAGAGACTTGCTCAGAGTTAAAAAGCACACAGAGGCACACACTAAGGTAGAGCTAGGCGTGTAGCCCAGGACTCCTGACTTCCAGGCCAGTACTCCTCCCACATACCCTCCTTACCAGCTCACACTAACAGGTTTTTCACTTGAGGGCACAAGTAATTGAGGATGCTTATATTTTCCCCCCATTATATCAGATTAGCCTAAATGTATTTAATTTTACAATGGTCTTATTCATAAGTTGAACATCAGTTAAGGGATAGGGTATTTATTAGGAGATTCAGGTAAAGCCTGTACTCGAGCAGTTAGTTCAGTGTTTATCGAATAATAGGATATATTTTCATACATAGTTCCTAGTAGTTTGTTCGTTTTGTCTTTGACAAAAATAAAGATGAGCAAAGTAGTAATCTGAGAAGAAATCTGGGGTTGTTTCCCTCTGTAGAGAAATGGACTTTATTATAAAAACATTACTTGTGAAAGGTGTCTCTTTTACCTCCATTTTTTGTCTTAAAATACATCTTTTCCCCCAGCTGCCATTTTTATCATCACTTGTTTACTTTAAAGGCTTTGCTCTGTTTCTGCAACATGCAGAGGCAGTCTCCCTTCATGCTGTGAAGAGATGTCTCTTGCTACTTTCTGTTTCCCTTATGGGTGTGACCATGGAATGTTGCTAGTTCCATGTCTCCAGCAGAGATGCTCGGGAGACTTTGCACATGGCCTGTGGGGTCCACTGTTGGCTGATGACTATACCCACCCCGGATGTGCTAGGTGCTCCATAAATATGGTCACTCTAAGGACAGCCCCCATCTAGCTTGTTTTCATTTATATAAAACAGCACATAACATTAAACAGTGTTTCATTTTTAATCCAATTATTAACTTTTAAAAAGTTATTCAAGTTGAGTATGGTGTTATTCACCTGTAGTCTCAGCTACTTGAGAGGCTGAGGTGGGAGAATCACTTGAACCCAGGAGTTTGAGTTAGTGAGACCCCCATCTCAAAAAAGTTACTCTTATTCATATATTTCAGAAAAAAGAGAATTGCCAACAGTTTCTTCCCAACCTCTTGCCTAACCATATCCCACACTCCTTTTATTCTAGCCAGTATATTTCTTCCTAAGCGAAGTTTGATCCTTAAGTCTTCTGGAGAACTGAGTCTTGTAGTGATTCTACATTTGCACAAGTCCTAAAGATAGAAGAGTTGAGGCTAGGGGAAAAAGAGTCCTTTAAACATTTAACAGTTAATGTTTGTTTTTCACTAACCTTTTATCTCTAGTATTTACTATTCCGGATAACATTAGTACAAACTGAGAAAACAGGAAATGGAAATATTCTTATGTAGAGTCCCCGCCCTGTATATATGTCAGGTTGATTTCTCTGAAACTGTTTTCATTTCCTATATTTACTTAAAAACTAACCTTCAGAATGTTTCTATAAACCTGTTTCATTCAACTTCCCTATTAATAATAGTTGTCTCTCATTCTTTCTTTTCCCTTCTGTGACCATCTTAAAGTATTTGAAGCAGGCCTGGCGTGGCAGCTCACGCCTATAATCTTAGTACTCTAGGAGGCCGAGGCAGGAGGATCCTTTGAGCTCAGGAGTTCGAGACCAGCCTAAGCAAGAGAGAGACCCCCATCTCTACTAAAAATAGAAATTAGTCGGACAACTAAAAATATATATAAAAAATTAGCCAGGTATGGTGGTGCATGCCTATAGTCCCAGCTACTTGGGAGGCTGAGGCAGGAGGATCACTTGAGCCCAGGAGTTTGAGGTTGCTGTGAGCTAGGCTGACGCCACTCTAGCCCGGGCAACAGAGTGAGACTCTGTCTCAAAATAAAAAAAATTTAAAAAAAAGATATTTGAAGCAAAAAGTTATACATAAGTGCTGTGGGAACAAAATGCCTGCAGAGTTCATTTGGTTTTTAAATCTTTCCTTAAAATTATGGGGCTAGAAAAGAAACATAATTTTGTTAACAAGATAAATTGATCAATTGAATTCCTAATCAGTGGGAATTTTTATATTTGTACCAGATTTAGCAGATTACTCTTCTTCTAAAGGGGAACTATATTAAATGTACAAACTCCCTTTTATTTAAAGAATGCAAAGGGTTTTACAAATGTTTTTTTACAATACCAAGTTCTCGTAAGATAGTGAGGATAAATTTCACATATGTACCCGTGGGAGGATGTGCTGGCTTGCGATCTCAATGTCTCTGTCTCTCTCTCCCTCTCTCTCTCTCTCTTTCAATGTCTGTCTCTCTCTTTCTCTCTCTCTCTCTCGCATACACATACACACACACACACACACACACACACACACACACACACACACACACACAAAACTGCTAGTTTTACTATATAATTTAGAGCAGTTACTGTCTAAATATGGTCCTAAGACACTTGGACCTTTTGGGGATTGTGCCCTGTGATAAGGCATCTAGACAGACGTTTACAGATAGCATAGAAAGAAGAGAGAACATGTGTCTTGTACTATTCACGTGTAGTGATTTTTTTTTTAAGTGGAAATTCACCAACCAAAGCTCAGGAACATTGGAGTAGGTTTCTGTGGTACCTCAGTTGCCACAGACTCTGAAAGTAACACTATGGTCCCACTTTCTCTTGATTATGGAACAAGGCAAGAAAGGGCTTTAGTGACCATGTCACAGAAAGAAGATGCCTTCTGCATTTGGAGCACATCACACTGTTCAGAGTGATCTTATGGCCTTTTTATGAGGTAGATGGGCATGTTTTATGCCCATTTAGCAAATATCTGAGATGCAAAAATAGTTGTTAATGCCTAAGATCATAAAATTAATTACAACCAGGTTCTAGCCCTCCTGATTTTTACTGTTGTTACTTGATTATAGAACACAGGGTTAGGTTGGCAAGTGCTGCCCAAGAAGCTAGAGGCATATTCGGTTTCTTGCTGCATGGGAAGAGGAACGGAGGAAACCAGTGACCTGGAGACAACTGGGTTCCTGCAGAACCTTGGACTTATAATCGAGACACCTAAATGTTTGCATCCCAACCACAGTCCTGACTAATCACTATCTTGGGTATTTCCATTAAAAAGACCAACCTAATTGAAATTTCATCTCATTTTGAATGAGTTTAACTGAATGGGGTTTCTGTCACCCTCTTTTTCACAGGCATTATTAACAGGTTGTGGAGGGAGTACAAGTGTCCTCTGCTTTTTGGTACACTAAATCTTTATTGCTGTTATACACATACACTTATGGCCTTTTTGCATCTTGTTTGTTCCTGCACATGTTTGTGTCAGTTAAGATCAGAAGGATATCTAATGTTTATGCATTAAAAATACTCTTTAATTTTTAGAAATATATGCAAGAGGCACGAAGTTTAGGGAAAAACCTCAGGCAACCCAAACTGTCAGACCTGTCTCCAGCAGTGATTGCACAGACCAACTGGAAATTTGTAGAAGGCTTATTAAAAGAATGTAGAATGAAGGTATGTATGACTCACTGACACCAGAGAGAGTGTGTTCATGCTTACACCACGTGTGCGGCTAAGATGAGCCAGGTCAACCCCCATTTGAGCCTGTAACTTTCCTAGAAGAAAATGTTTACTGTGACATAGAGTTCATGTGCTCTTTACTGAGGTATTGAACCTCTGTGGGTTCTCCATTGCCCACAGAATCAATGACATGGGAGCCCTGCATGGTTTTTTTCACCTTTTCAGCCATGGCTGTCCTATTCTCCAACATGGACAGATGTATTAAACCACCCATAGGTTGTGTCAGAAATGTTGTCATCTTATGTGAATGACAACATATTTTTTGTGTCTGTGTATATACCTATGTACAGCCTTATCTGTGCCCATGTGTGTGTTTGTATACCCATAAGGAAAAAGACCTTAGCTGTGTTGTGGTATATATTGCACACCAAATCTCCTCTCGGATTATCTGTGTATTGTCAGAGATTGCAGTATAAACTGACAAAACTCAAAAACATCATTTTAGCCAATAATTTCATTCATTTTTTTGACAGTCATTTCTTAAGTACCTTCTCTGCATGTTCAATAAATGCACTGTTTTCAGCATCAGTATATAGTGGTGAATCAGAAAAGGAACTAGAGGAACTGCCTAAAAGAACTAGATCCTGGCTGGGCACAGTGGCTCACACCTGTAATTCTAGCACTCTGGGACGCCGAGGCAGGAGAATCACTTGAGGTCAGGTCCAGACCAGCCTCAGCAAGAGTGAGACCCCATCTCTACTAAAAATAGAAAGAAATTAGCCAGGCAACTAAAAATAGAAAAAATTAGCCAGGTGCAGTGGCACATGCCTTGTAGTCCCAGCTACTCAGGAGGCTGAGGCAGGAGGATCACTTCAGACCAGCAGTTTGAGGTTGCAGTAAGCTAGGCTGACACCACAGCACTCTAGCCTGGGCAACAGAGCGAGTCTTTGTTTAAAAAAAAAACATTCTAGGTCCTCTCTCACATACATTTTATAAGCACTGCTAAGACTGATGCAAATTATCTTACATGAAACTTATTTCCTTTCTATTTTTTGGTGTATACTCATGAGAAAAGAAGAAATAAAAGAGGAAGGGGAAAAAAAAGAGTCCTGGTTCACTCACAAATTAGAGTTCTCAAAAAACTTAGAACTGCCCATTTATATTGTGGTTTTTACCTAAGTACAGTCAAACTAAATATAGAGGATGCTTTATAAATAGTATATTATTTTCTCTTTGGTCAAACTCCATTTCTTTAACAAAATAGTAAAATATAGATGATATTACTCCAGTTAGTTGACCACAGAGATTAAAAAGATATTTTTCCCAAGGTGATTAAAAATACACAATTAAAAGTATCGTAAAGAGAAGCCAGGTCTCCTATTCCAATAATTGACTTGTTGGGTTTTGGTTTCACTGCTGGGTTAACTTGTGACCACCTGTGACATTTTCAGACAAAACGCATGCTGGTGGAAAAGATGGGACATGAAGCAGTGGAACTGGGCCATGGAGAAGCAAACATCACCGGCTTGGAGGAGAACACCTTGATTGCCAGCCTCTGTGACCTGCTGGAGAGGATATGGAGCCATGGCTTGCAAGTCAAGCAGGTAACAGTTTCAGGAGGTCCTGGTGACATGGCCAGGTGGGAGCCCTGTTAAGAAATGTATCAAGGAGGAAAAGATGTCAAAAATGATATGTTTCTTTGTCACAGGATAACTAGAAGTCTGCCACATTCATTGCAGAGACTATATCCCCATTAAATGCAGAGACTGAGATTCCATTAAATGTCTGCTTTGGCACTCTCCAGGAAAAAATTCTGCTAGCCAGAATTAATAGTTCTATACTGTTTTAAGTTATTCAGGGCAGAAAATTCAAATGCTCTCTTTACTTTTGTCTCTTTAGTCTCCCTTTCTGATTTTTTTCCTGATGTGTGCATGTTTCTTTTCTTTTTCTCCTCTTACTCCAATTTTTCCCTTCATCTCCACTGTATGTATCTAAACATATTTTGCATATGGATATGTACACAAACACATTTTGTGCTGCTGGAGCCTTTTATTTTTATTTATTTATTTTTTTTGAGACAGAGTCTCACTTTGTTGCCCAGGCTAGAGTGAGTGCCATGGCGTCAGCCTAGCTCACAGCAACCTCAGACTCCTGGGCTCAAGCGATCCTCCTGCCTCAGCCTCCCGAGTAGCTGGGACTACAGGCACGCGCCACCATGCCCGGCTAATTTTTTCTATATATGTTAGTTGGCCAATTAATTTCTTTCTGTTTATAGTAGAGACGAGGTCTTGCTCTTGCTCAGGCTGGTTTCGAACTCCTGACCTCGAGCCATCCGCCCACCTCGGCCTCCCAGAGAGCTAGGATTACAGGCATGAGCCACCGCGCCTGGCCTGCTGGAGCCTTTTATTTCCATGGTTACTTAATGTGACCAGTGTAGACAGCCTTAATTACATACAAATAAGTAAGGCCTGAGCTGACATCAGGTATCTCTATGTCTGCCTTTCTGACCTTCTGCTTAGCTGCTTCTCTTCCCCTGATTCTTGCCAGCCTTCTCAGTGAGGCAAAGGATGACCTTCATTAACACTTTGAGAGAGATGCTCAGAATGTCACACAGCTTGGAGTGAATGAGCTTGTGTCACCAAACTTCTAAATGGCTATTTTTATATGAATGTTTTTTTTTTCATTTTAGCGTATTATAGGGGTACAAGTGTTAAGGTTACATATGTTGCCCATGCCTCCCCTCCCACCTTGAGTAAGAGCTTCAAGTGTGTCTATCCCCCAAGCGTTGCACATCTTACTTGTTGTGATTGTATATACCCATCCCCTCCTCCCCCCTCCCACCCTCCCAACACCCAATAAATGTTACTCCTATATGTCCATTTAGGTGTTGATCCGTTAATACCAGTTTGCTGGTGAGTACATGTGGTGCTTGTTTTTCCATTCTTGAGATACTTTACTTAATAGAATGGGTTCCAGCTCTATCCAGGAATATACAAGAATATATGAATGATTTTGATGAGAAATTATTTTTTGATTAATTATTTCTTATAAAATGAACATTTTTGTATGCCTTGTACTTTCAGGGGAAGTCAGCTTTGTGGTCACATCTAATTCAATTTCAGGACAGAGAAGAGAAGCAAGAGCACCTTGCAGAATCACCAGGTGAGAGATCATTAGTTTGATTGTTTCTGTAAAACTGGCAGCATTGGGCATTGAGGAGAATCAATATTTTATGGCAATACTGTATCAGTGCTTGTCTTGATCTCTTTCTCTCTCAAGCTAAAACTTACGCCATCTTGCCAGTAATGGGGTAATGTAGAAGGAGCAATATTATTTACTAGCTGTGAGACCTGGGAAAAGTCATTTGACCTTTCTTTTTTTTTTTTTTTTTTTTTGAGACAGAGTCTCGGTTTGTTGCCCAGGCTAGAGTGAGTGCCATGGCGTCAGCCTAGCTCACAGCAACCTCAAACTCCTGGGCTCGAGCGATCCTCCCACCTCAGCCTCCTGAGTAGCTGGGACTATAGGCATGCACCACCATGCCTGGATAAGTTTTTCTATATATATTAGTTGGCCAATTAATTTCTTTCTATTTATAGTAGAGACGAGGTCTCGCTCTTGCTCAGGCTGGTTTCGAACTCCTGACCTCAAGCAATCTGTCCGCCTCGGCCTCCCAGAGTGCTAGGATTACAGGCGTAAGCCACCGCGCCCGGCCCATTTGACCTTTCTGATCTCCTGCTTCCATGTATATAAGATAGGAAAAATATTAGCTGTGCCAAAGCTGTCATGTTGATCAAGTAAGGTAACGTGAAAATCCTCAGTGAATCGTAAAGGACCATACAAGTATTCCTTACTCTCACCAGTATTAGGATTTGGTGTATATTGATTATTTTCTTTAAAAAATAGTTTTATGACATCATTAATTATCTTTCAGGGAAAAATATGTATATATGTCTCAGTCTTTAGGATTTTTGAATTTTTCAGTTTATAGAAAATATGTTAGAAATGTCTGGCACTTTTTTTTAACTAATTAGAATTATGTAGGGTTACTTAAGCTAAATATTATACCTACTGTGTATTTTTCATAAGGAGCTTGTTTTTCTTTATATAAAATAACCATCTATTTCACAAAAAATAGAAGCAATACAGTAGGAAGCTAATAGAGATACAATGTATTATATTGAATCAGCCATTTGGGAACCTTTTCTAAAATTATGGATTATTTTAGACATTCAGAAATGTAAAAAAAGTAATATTTTTAAAAACTCATAAGCCAACCACCAGTTTAAGAAATAATGGCCTGGCATGTTGGTGCACACCTGTAGTCTCAGCTATTTGGGAGGCTAAGGCAGGAGGATTGCTTGAGCCTAGGAGTTCAAGGTGGCAGTGAGCTATGATTGTGCCTGTAAATAGCCATTGCACTCCCTCCTGAGCAACATAGTGAGACCCCCCTCTCTAAAATAATAATAATAAAATAAATAAAGTAATACATTGCAAACATGATTGAATTAGGATGTATTCATTCCTAATTCCTTTTCCTTCACTGCTCTTAGAGGACAGTACTACCCTAAATGTGGGGTTTATTGTTGGAAACTTAATTTCTAAATTTATGTAATCAGACAGCTGGGAATATGAATTTGATGCTACATTGCCCTGGAGCTCCTCTAACCAGAATGTCAAGGTTCTGCTGTCCCGGCCTGTAACTATATTTCCAGATTCAGATCAAGTTTAAAAGCATTCTCTAGTGTCTATCTCCTCTGTCCCTTTTTCTCTTAAAGTAAAAATGCATTGGCATATGCCCTAAAACTGTCTCTAACAGAAAATATAGCTGTTCAGATCATAAGACCATAACCAAGGCAGCTTACTCTAATTAGAAAAAAATAAATTTCTAGGAAGAAATAGCCATTTGTAGGGTAAAATGTTGGAAAGCCAAGCTCAGTTAAGGCAGAGAGGTGAAAGCATTCAGCTCTTGTTCCAAATGAGGCATGTGAGTTATGTCTAGCGCTTTAGTCAATAAAGAGATGATGTCTCACTCTGTTGCCCAGGTTAGAGTACAGTGGCATGATCATAGCTCACTGTAGCCTTGAACTCCTGGGCTCAGGCAATCCTCCTGCCTCAGCCTCCTGAGTAGCCAGGACTACGGCACGCACCACCAGGATTGGCTTGTCCAGCTGTTAGAATGGGCAGCTGCTGGGAAACACCAGCAGTTTTCATGGCTGTGGCTGTTCAAATGTTGAATGGTTCACTCAGAGATCAGAGTCCTGGCTGTTTGCAGTGGCCTTCAGTCAGTTGTGGCACCAGCAAAACTCTGAAGTCAAGGCTAAGAAATATAAAATGTGTCAAAGCCTCATGTAGTTACTCTCTGTGCCACATTTCCAAATGTTGATGAAGGGCTAGTGATGTAAGAGTGAACAGTGAGATATTTTACTGATCATAATTCAAGATTAAGCCATGTAGCTTTTGAAATTAAAGTTTATTGTCTGTTTGGAGGGGTGGATTTTATAAACATTGCTCTAACACTACTGATGATTCAGCCCAGGAAGTTAAGACATAAAAATATGAGAGTGTGAAATATGTATAAAAACATCAGTTTAGGCCGGGCGCTGTGGCTCACGCCTGTAATCCTAGCTCTTGGGAGGCCGAGGCGGGCGGATTGCTCAAGGTCAGGAGTTCAAAACCAGCCTGAGCAAGAGCGAGACCCCGTCTCTACTATAAATAGAAAGAAATTAATTGGCCAACTGATATATATATATAAAAAAAAAAAAATTAGCCGGGCATGGTGGCGCATGCCTGTAGTCCCAGCTACTCGGGAGGCTGAGGCAGAAGGATCACTCAAGCCCAGGAGTTTGAGGTTGCTGTGAGCTAGGCTGACGCCACGGCACTCACTCTAGCCTGGGCAACAAAGTGAGACTCTGTCTCAAAAAACAATAAAATAAAATAAAAAAAAAAAAACATCAGTTTAAAAAAGAAATATTTCATTCTTGAGAAACAATACAGTGTTCTAATTATGCAAAAAGTACTTTTTATTTGCCAGTTATTAAGCTTTCTAATTAATGGTAGTAAACAGTCTGCATTGTCATACTAAGGATAGATCCTTAGAGATTCACAGCACTATTTAGTGTTTAGCTCATTGCAGCCTCAAACTCCTGGGCTCAAGTGATCCTTTTGCCTCAGCCTCCTGAGTAGCTGGGACTACAGGTGTGCACCACCATGCGCACCAATTAGACACTATTCTTACTAGCATGGAGCCACTGTGAGACTTGATCATAGATAATTACTATCCTTCAGAAGCAGCACTAAACAGGGACATTTGAAGAGTTACAGAGGAATGGAAAGGATCGGTCTTGGCAAGAGGACCATAATGTGTAGATTGTATTAATTTGACCTAGTGATCCCTGCACCTAGTAGTTTGAAGTCCTGTTTCTGAGAAAGAATCTCAGAATGCAGCTACTCCTAGAACAAGGACTGTTATTGACGTATCACCCAAAAGCTTCAATCTTTAAAAATGTTGGTGAATTCTTAAGCCTGCCCCCTCAGACAAGGTTCTTCTACTAAACTGTAAATGGATTTTTAAATCACTTGGCAAGGGGTGGGCATAGAGCACAGAAGGGGGTGGAAATGCTACTTTTAAATGGTTATTCTGGATCTAGCCCGGGAGTTTTGAGTCATTCTTCAATCATCCTGTCTTCAACAGAAGTTTTCTTTTAATTAGTTACCTACCTATTGTCTGTAAATGGTTCTGTAAAAATAATATATACAGTCTCTGCCTTCTACAAACTTGCTCTCTGTATAGTAGCATTGATTCAAGCAGATATACAAAGGGAGTTCCTGAGGCCAAGTATTAAATACACGAATCTTGCCAGATGCTGTGGCCCACACCTGTAATCCTAGCACTCTGGGAGGCTGAGACTGGAGGATTGCTTGAGACCCAGGAGTTTGAGACCAGCCTGAGTAATGTTATATTTGAGATTCACGAGGTGGCAGGACAGAGAGACAGAGTCACTGAGGCTGTAATTATCAAAAGGAGTTTTATTGTCTAGCTCGAGCTAGGGTCCAAGCCCCCAGAGTGCCAGCGCAGTGGCCTCCTCTCTGGGCAGGGACCCTCTTTTTTGTGTTAGTCTCTTTTTTATAATTTAGTTGTTTACACACTGGTCATGCATCTGCCCCCACAGTGATTTTTACTTTATCCTGCCCCTGATAGGCTCTAACCTGTTCTGGGTCCTAGCTGAGAGACTTGGGTTTCTGCGCTCTTTGTCTTTTTCTTCTGCATCTCATAATGTACTCGTAACGCCTTGCGGTTAGCAAACAAGCAGTAAACAGAAGCTGGAAGGTGTCTATTGTCTTTATAGCCCAGTATCTTACAGTAAGAGTGATACCCCTTCTCTACAAAAAACTAGAAAAATTAGCCAGGCATGGTGTTGCACACCTGTAGTCCCAGCTACTTGGGACGCTGAGGCAAAAGGATCACTTGAGCCCAGGAGTTTGAGGTTGCAGTGAGCTATGATCATGCCACTGTACTCTAGCCCAGGTAACAGAGCGAGACCCTATCTCAAAAAACAAAAAAAAAATGTAAAGAAAAAATTCGTGAATCTTGACATTGAAGGAGAAAGTGGCCTATTGTATTTTGAGTATTTTGAATTAAGAAATAGTAAGGCGGCCAGGCATGGTGGCTCATAACCTAGCACTCTGGGAGGCCGAGACGGGGGAAAAAAATTAGCCGGGCATGGTGGCACATGCCTGTAGTCCCACCTACTTGGGAGGCTGAGGCAGCAGGATTGCTTGAGCCCAGGAGTCTGAGGTTGCTGTGAGCTAGGCTGACGCCACGGCACTCACTCTAGCCTGGAACAAGAGGAGACTCATGTCTTCTCAAAAAAAAATAGTAATGGAAGTATACATTTAAATAGCTTGTAAAATTCTCTTCTGGCTGGAGTAGACATCATGAAAACCTTCTTAGATTTTATTAGTGTTTTCTTAGATTTTATTATAGATCTCTAGATAAAAGCTATGGCTTCATTTCTTAATCCCTAATCTGCCTTCTACTCACAGGCTTCTGAATTCTTCTTTCCAAAGTCAGTAATAAACTATCCTATTAGTTATTTAGGTCTGCCATAATGATGTGCCACAAACTGAGTGGCTTAAACAACAGAAATTTATTGTCTCATTTCTGGAAGATAGAAATCCAAAATCAAGGTGTTGGCTGGGTTAGAGCCTCCTGAGGACTGTGAGAAAGAACCTGTTCCACTCCTTTCTCCTAACTTCTGGTAGTTTCAGGCATTCCTTGGATGGTAGATGGCATTCTCCATCTGTCTTCATATTGTCTTTCCTCTATGTGTGTCTGTCCCTGTGTACAAATTTCCCCTTTACATACAAGGCCACGAGTAACATTGGTTAGGGCCCACTCTAAGGACCCCATCTTGATCAACTGCAAAGACCCTGTTTCCAAATAAGGTCATCACATTTAGAGGTACCAGTAAGGGTTAAGACTTTAACATCTTTGTAGTGGCACAGTTCAAACCGCAGCATCTACTATTGGCCTAACTCTGTGTCATCATTCACCTATTACATTAGCAGATTATTCCCAAATCTCTTTCTCCAGCTCTGGTTTCTAGGCATCCAAAGATGGATGTAGGAACTCAGCATGTGTTAAAACAAACTCATTATCTCAGCACCTCTCCCTACTGTACCTGTCAGGCTTTCTCTGTTCTCTCTGTCTTATTTAATGGTACCAGCACCCTCCTCTCAGTCAAGCTAGAAGCCAGAAAGTCATCTGTAATGAGTGGAAAGCCCACTGGACACAACACCAGAACACTCTGTTTCTTATAATAAATGTATACGATTGGGCAGGTCTCTTAACCTCTTTGAGCCTCAGTTTCTTCATTTGAAAAATTAATATAAAAAAAAATTCAAAGGAAACTTCTAATTAGTTGTGATAATATTTATTAAAATACTTTAAAACAGTATTTAATGTTGGTAGGGGTTTTTTGTTATTATAACGAATAACTAGAAAATGACTGGTCCTTATGGCCAAAATTTACACACATTGCATTATTTGCTAGGTGGGCTTTTATGATTCATTTTAAATTTCTAAATATAGCCCCAGATTAACTAGAAAGAAAATAGCTAATTTACTGTATTAATAAAGTAGCAACATTCAGGAAAAAGAATTTGAGCTTTTCTATTGTCTTTAAAATTTGTTCTTATCAGCAGTTTCAAAGTATTTATTTATAGAATGTGAACCATGTAGATTGTTTTCTAATACTTTGCTGATATTTTTCTACATAGTTGCCCTTGGACCAGAAAGAAGAAAATCTGACTCAGGAGTTATATTGCCAACACTCAGGGTCTCTCTTATTCAAGACATGAGGTATTTGTTATATATGTTAGCAAATGGTAATAACTTTGAAGTATTTTATGGCTTTCACCTAAATTGCTCAAATAATTATGGGTATGTGTGTTTTTTACGTATGTATTCTGAAGAAAGAACTTTTTATAATTTTGTTTATTTTACTTTTATACTGTTGTATTATTTCCTGACATTAAATCCAAAGGGAGGAAGCTGAGAAGAGTTTTAAAGCATCTCCAAACTATTTTAAAACTTGTTGTTCAGTTTTTTAAAACTACCTGAAATACCTGCTGCCATAGATACAGACAAAAAAATCTGCAAATAATGACAGGTTACTTAGCAGAAAAATTACTCTCAGGCAAATTTAGTTTGAAGTAAATACAAATCTGATAATTATCACTTCTGGTTACTGGTCTTAGAAATCTTTAGAAGGGGCTGGGTGTGGTGGCTCTTGCCTGTAATCCTTGCAACTCTGGGAGGCCAGAGTGGGAGGATTGCTCGAGGTCAGGAGTTCGAGACCAGCCTGAGCAAGCGTGAGACCCTGTCTCTACTAAAAATAGAAAGAAATTATCTGGACAACTAAAAATATATAAAAACAATTAGCTGGGCATCGTGACGCATGCCTGTAGTCCCGGCTACTCGGGAGACTGAGGCAGAAGGATTGCTTGAGCCCAGGAGTTTGAGGTTGCTGTGAGCTAGGCTGCCGCCACGGCACTCTAGCCCAGGGGGCAGAGCAAGACTGTCTCAAAAAAAAAAAAGAAAGCAAGAAAGAAATCTTTAGAAGGCATCAAGATATCTAAAATGGATTTATTGGTTAAGGAAGGCAGAGGCTTTTTTCTTTTAAATACTTTAGGTACAGTGCTTAGTCAACTGTAACAAAGTATAATTCTTATGAGTGGCAGCATACTATAGTGATAACACATCCTGGCTTCACCACTTACTGTGTGACCTTAGGCAATTTTCATAACTTCTCTGTGCCTCAGTTTTCCCATCTCTCATATAGATTAGAAACAGGACCTATCTCATAGGATTGTTATGAGAGTCAAATGAGTCAGTGCATGTCAAAAGTTTAAAGAAATATTTGGCTCATACTGAGTTCACTGAATGGTGGTTGTCATGTGAATCAATTTATATCTTAAATGTTAGTATTCCTTGGTAGATAAATGTTGTCCTATAATTCCTTTTGTTCGTCAGCATAAGAAGGATACTTATGAGGAGAAAATAATCCCAGTTTTCTTAAGAGAAACAAACCCACATGTGCTCTGCAGTGATTTCACAGTAGCCATCACATTAAGGTGATGGTTGCTGAAAGCTTTGCAGTTGTGACCTCAAGTCAAACTCCTGAAACCTACTTAGGGGATGGTCACATCACATAAGGCTACCCTGCTCCTTTCAATTTCTTAAATTACTTTTTTTTTTTTTTTTTTTTTGAGACAGAGTCTCACTTTTGTTGTCCAGGCTAGAGTGAGTGCCGTGGCGTCAGCCTAGCTCACAGCAACCTCAAACTCCTGGGCTCGAGCGATCCTTCTGCCTCAGCCTCCCGAGTAGCTGGGACTACAGGCATGTGCCACCATGCCCGGCTAATTTTTTTTCTATATATGTTAGTTGGCCAATTAATTTCTTTCTGTTTATAGTAGAGACGGGGTCTCGCTCTTGCTCAGGCTGGTTTTGAACTCCTGACCTTGAGCAATCCGCCCGCCTCGGCCTCCCAAGAGCTAGGATTACAGGCGTGAGCCACAGCGCCCGGCCTCAATTTCTTAAATTACTTTTATCTACTTCATGTTAGTTTCTTGGGGAAGTGGGAGGTCTTGCTTAGATTTACTCTCCTCACTTGGTAAGAGGCAATCCACATAACACGTTGGTTAAGACCTTGGGCTTCTTGAGAGTATCTTAAAAGAACAACAATAGCCGGGCTCGGTGGCTCACGCCTGTAATCCTAGCTCTCTGGGAGGCCGAGACGGGCAGATTGCTCAAGGTCAGGAGTTCGAAACCAGCCTGAGCAAGACCTCGTCTCTACTAAAAATAGAAAGAAATTAATTGGCCAACTAATATATAGAGAAAAAATTAGCCGGGCATGGTGGCGCATGCCTGTAGTCCCAGCTACTCGGGAGGCTGAGGCAGGAGGATCGCTTGAGCCCAGGAGTTTGAGGTTGCTGTGAGCTAGGCTGACGCCACGGCACTCCCTCTAGCCTGGGCAACAAGTGAGACTCTGTCTCAAAAAAAAAAAAAGAACAACAACAAAAGAAAAAGACTTTGAGCTTCAGAACCAGCCTGTAAGGGTTTGTATTTTAGCTCTGCTGCTCACTAGCTGTGTAGCTTGTGGCAATTTCTTACACTCTCAATTTTATCACCTGTAAATGGGGATAATAATAATGCTTCTCTCAAAAAGTTGGTGTAAAGATTCAATGAGTTAATAAATATAAAACACCTGAAACAGGCCTGAAATATATGTATGTTTACTAACTCCTGCATACTGCATGAGTCTATATATGTCTATATTTAATTTCTGTTTGTCTTTATATGTATGCATATATATTCTTCTGTGTACACACACACACATAAATCTTAAACCATGAGTTTATGATGGCATCTCTGATTCCAATTCAACAGGGATTCATGCTAGCCTTCACCATTTCCTTATTTGTAATTTCCTTCTCCAATTGTGAGAAACATGCCTCTCATTATCTATAGTATATTTACTTATTTGTGCAGCCCTAGTATAAACACAAAGTCGTTTTTGAATTGCTAACCCATACCACTGTGAGAAACAAGTTTACCTTGGAGCACAGTGCTTGTGTGCAGCTCTAGTTTCCTTTATCATTAGCCTTTCAGTATCTAGTCAAAATACGGTTTTCTATAACTTAAGAGTTAGTTCTTTTCTTTTTTATCCCTTCCCTTCATTGTGGTTACATTATTCATTCATAATGTAGTTAGGTTGTTTTGTCAGTTTATATTTGATTTTTGTTTCCCTCTGCATCCTGGTTGCTCTTTTGTTCTTCCCAAATTTATATACAGTAAAATTTACTCTTTGTTGGTGTGTAGTTCTGTGGATTTTACAAATGCACAATTGTGATATAGAGCAGTTCTATCACCCTAAAAAGTCCCTATGCTACTTCTCCCCCCGCCCCCATGCTACTTCTTTTTAATCATCTCCTCTTCCAGTTCCCTGCCTGTGACAATCACTGGTTTATTTCCAAGCTCTTTGCACTGTGAGGGCCTAGAAATAGTACTATCCTAGTAGCAGTGAGCACACCTTACACCCAATATTGGTTTCTCTGTCTCTAATGAAAGGAATCAGGGCTCCCTAGAGAAGTGGATGATTCCAGGGCTGAGGTAAGAAAAATATAGGATGAGCCTCGTGTATCTTGTGGAGTTAGAAAGTAAGGAAGTACTCAGAAAATGATAAGGTCGTGTCAAAAGGATACAGGAGCCAACCTGAAAAGGCTGCCAGTGGCTAAAGATGGAACAATTTGAGCAACAAAAGAAATAATGATAGAATTGGAGCATAACTCATAAAATAAAATAAAATAAATATCCATGAGTCTATTCCAATATTAAAAAAGAATTAATTTCTTTGATATTATTTTCTCAAAAAAATAAATAAATAAATGGGAGGAATGGGACAGCTCATTTTTACATAAGTGCTCCAATTAATAAATGTAGAGGAATGAAGTAGAAAAAATAGTAGTTGAAAGTTTAAGGCAAACCCAGGATATTTACATAATCTCAAAGTGTCTCTCCCAAGAATTTATTTACTATTAAGAAAAAAATAAGCCGACACAGTGGTTTATGCCTGCTATAATCCTAGCACATTAGTAGGTCAAGGCAGGAGGATTGCTTGAGGCCAGGAGTTCAAGACCAGCCTGGCAACACAGAGAGACCCTATTTCTACAAAAAAATTTTTTAAAAAATTAGCCAGATGTCATTGGCACATGCCTATAGTAGTACTAAGCTAGTTGAAGGATAAGGCAGGAGAATTGCTTTGAGCCCAGGAGTTTGAGGTTGCAGTGAACTGAGCTCATGCCAGTGCACCGTGGTTCTGACAACAGAGTGAGACCCTGTCTACAAAAAAATAAAAAAGAAAAGAAAAATAGTAACCTAATAGTGAAGAAAACCAGCAGACATCACCCTAACCAAATGATCACAGTCAACCTTTCTTTTTTTTTTTTTCTCCAGACCTGTACCTGCAGACACAGTCAACCTTTCTAGTAATAAGACAAATCAATACCATGCACCCCTGATGTGAACAATGAAAAGAGTATATCACTTCTGCAGTATTATTGTTATAAATGCTTAACCTCAATCTAATCAAGCACAGCTGTAGTCCCAACTAACTCTGGAGGCTGAGGATTGCTTGAGCCTAGGAATTTGAATCCAGACTGGGCAATATAATGAAACCTCATCTCCAAAAAAAAAAAATTGACCAGAACTCTTCAAAAGTTTCAACGTCACGAAAGACAAGGAAAGGCGGAGGAACTGTCAAAGGTTGGAGGAGAGTAAGGAGATGACAGTCAAATGCAATGTCAGTTCTTGGAACAGAAAGGACACCAGAGGGAAAACTGGTAAAGTCAGTCTAGTCTAGTTAATAGTAGTATACCAGTGTTATCTTAGTTTGGTTATGCAAGATATTAACATAGCACTCTAGCCCAGGAGTTTGAGGCTGCAGTGAACTGTGATGACCCCACTGCACTCTACCCAGGGCAATAGAGCAAGACTCTGTCTCAAAAAACAAAACAAAAACAAAAAACACCCAAAATAATATTCTAAATTTTGTTTTTTCCAACTTGGACAATTATAGAAATCTTATCTTCTAACGATGAAGATGTCTACCTCTCTGAGTCCATATTCTCTGTCAGATACATGCTTCTCTTGGTACCTCCTGTCTTCCTAAGTTTAAGGCAAAGACACTGGCAGTGTAGATACTTCGAGTCCTCCTGATTGTTGAGAGTTCTTAGCAGCTGGCATGACTCCAAGACAGACATATCAAAAAACTAATATCTTTCATAGTATCTCAATCCCCAAGACCTCCCAAGGCCTTCATAGGTGTTAAGTATCACCAAACCATCAGTAATATTAATGGAATGATTTTTTTTTCTCTAAAGAGAAAGACTGGGGACAGTAAATAATTGTACACATTATCTACACATAACACTGTCATAACAGTGTTACCATTATTAGCAATTTATTTCCAGAGGAGCAATGCACATATCATGTAGCTGTTCAAACAGACTTTTTTGCTTAATAACAAAATGTAATTAATGATGAGGGCCATAATAGAACGTTATATGACCTAAGAGATTGTGAGTACTATAATCTAAGGACAAATACTCTGAATATTATTAACTAAATGAATAGGACGTCTGAGTAAATCCTAGGAATATTTTCTTTTATATTTTTATAAATAACATATGCACAAGTGCTTATGAGCATCTGGCTTTATTTGACACTAAAATTAAGTTGTCTTAATTTTAAGTTTAATTTTAAGTTGTCACTAAAATGATTGACTCCCGAGTAGCTGGGACTACAGGCATGCGCCACCATGCCTGGCTAATTTTTTTTCTATATATGTTAGTTGGCCAATTAATTTCTTTCTATTTATAGTAGAGATGGGGGTCTCGCTCTTGCTCAGGCTGGTTTCGAACTCCTGACCTAGACCAATCCGCCCACCTCGGCCTCCCAGAGTGCTAGGATTACAGGCGTGAGCCACCAAGCCCAGCCTAAAATGATTGACTTTGATATTCTTGGGAAGGAATATTTTGAAGAATATTATGACTGCACAGCATGTGAACTTAAAGATGGCTAATTTCTTAACTTCTCTAATAAACCTTATTAGGTTTCACTGGTGAGTCAGTGAAATAAGCAGCAATGTTGGACTCAGGAAATGTGGGTTCAGATTGAAGTGCTGCCATTCCCTGAGTCAGAAACATTTGGCTTTAGGGAACGGAAGCCCATTCAAAGTAGCTTCAGCTAAAAGGAGGATTTATTGGAGGTATGTAAGGATGTTTTCTAGAATCCAAGAACAGGAACTTTGGCTAGATTGGAAGCAGTGCTGCCACAGGCTGCTCTCCCTGTCTCACTAGAAACAAATCGTCTCTGCTTCTCCCTCCACACTTGCTGCATCTTCCCTCCTCCCCTCTCTTCCCTCCCTTTCCTGCTTTATCGAGCACATGATCACCCAAGCCCTGGCTTTAACATCATTTCTTATTTTAAGCATTCAACAAAAACTAACTTGGTTTTCCAATGTTCAGATTCCAAATTTCTGAGAGAAAATGTGGTGGGCTCCACTTAAATCAGGCAAGTGCTGCTTATACAGTCTGTTCTACCTGAGGGACTAGAGCGTGGGGCTTGTGCTTTGAGGTCAGGATACCTGGAGTTTTTTCTTCTGGGTTTATGGAATGGGAGCTTCTCTGAGACTGTGAGTGCCAGGAAGAAGTGATTGGTAGAAAAGGGGTGGCATCTTCAGGATAATATCTGTTCTCTCTGTGACCTTGAGTGGGCCACTTAGCCTCAGTGAATCTCAGTTTTCTCATCTTTAAAAGTGAACACATAAGAAAGCCAGATATGCCTGTAGTCCCAGCTACTCAGAGGCTGAGGCAGAAGGATCACTTGAGTTTGAGCCAGGAGTTCAAAGCTGCAGAGTGCTAGATTACACCTGTGAATAGCTAGCTCCTGCACTCCAGCCTATACAACATAGTGAGCCTCCATCTCTAAAAAAATTTTTTAATAAAAAAAAGTGAAACAATGATCTCTCTCTCACCAGTTATTGTGATGGTCAGACTGTCATAGAATTTTTTCTAAATTAGTAAGCTTTGTACCAGGGTTAGAAACCAATCAAGTAATTATTTAAACTATGTTATAAATGAGTTTTTGTGAATTAACAGGCTCTATTTTGCAAGTAATACTTTTGCAGTTATTATACTCAATGCCATAATAATATCTCAAAAACAGATTCAAATGGTATAACTACACAACAAATTTTTAATGGGTTTGGATTAAAGTTTATGATCACAGAATACATACATTGTCTTAAAGCATAAAATTAGATATAGATCTACAAAGCAACAGAGATGTTTGTGTGCCTATTGTATGGTAGGCCCTGTAGGGTTCAAAGAAGGATACAATGAAGCATTGGTCTCTTTGTCCTTGGGGAGCTTATGTCAGGTGAGAACAACATATGCCAAAAGAAAATGATAAAAGTAGTCAGTGGTGCATGCTAAGTAGGAAATTGGATTGTAGAAATTCATAGATTGGAGAAGTCATTGAAGGCTATCATGGTCAAGGAAAGTTTTCTAGGAGAAGTTAGGAGTTTAAATATGAATACAATCAAATAGGGAAGCTGGAAGAGAGTAAGTACATCAGGTAATGGAATGCAAAGCCTTGTAAAACAGATGTCCTGGAATGGTATATTTTTTTAATAAGAAGATAATGTTGGAAATATATGTTGAGATCAAGAGATAGTAGGACTTGAATGCCAGCCTGAGCAGTTCAGGCTATATTCTTTGAGCTTTTAGAGGTTCTTTAATATTGGGATGTTGTTTAATGAAATGGTGTCCCCAAAAAAAGAAGGTTCTTTAACAAAGGAATTACATTAAGAAGGTAATATTTTAGGTGGGTTCATTTCCCTAGTGCTAGTAATTCAGAAGGGCTTGAGGGGAAGAGTCCAACAGCTTCATCTTCCAACTCCCATGTCCCTTCTAAAAAAAAAACCTAATAGAAATACTTTTGTGATGGAAATACTGATTACTACCTAAAATAGGTTTTACTTTATATATTTTGATCTTTCCTATTTTCCATAAACACAGATTTTTTTCAAATTATATTTATTTTCTACTTTGTCATTCTTTACCTACCATGTCCTAGATACATAAGGCCAGATAAAATTAATTTAACTGGATTTTGATATTGTAGAGTAGGAAGAATACTTAGGGAAAGATTCCATAACACAAGTACTTATCAAGCCCCATAGATTCATTTTCAGTCAATACACTTCGTTTCAACTTGGTGATCCTGGATCATGTAAGCTCTAACCTGGCACTACACTGACGGGGAGTACCTTGTAAGTACTGTTAAACTTTAAGTGGTGAATGCTGAGTACTCTCCCTTGTTACTTTCAGTCAGCTGTGTCATTTGAGTAATATCTGTAGGGTTGAGGAACAGCCAGTGCTGCTGAAGAGGCTAATACTGGAAGTGCCAGCTTGGGTTGCCAAATGCCCCACCAGTATCACCACCACCAGTAACAACCAGGATCCAAGAGGAGTCCTGCTTGATACCAGCTTTCTTCATTTCGTGACCACATGTGATGGTATTATCTCTTTAAAAAATGAGTCTGTCATGAATTCTGAAGAAAATTCCTAGAGGTGAAGTGAGGTTGTCTAAGCCCCACAAAAATGGCAACAGAATTTTCTTTTATCTCCTCATTCTGCCTTGTTTTTAGTGTCTCTGTGTAATATGATATGCTTTTGTATCTTGTTTATCATGCATGTTTGATCATATATTAGCACTGAGTGTTAAGGACCTACATCTTCAGATTCAGAGACCAAGAGAAAAGAAAAAAGAAAGAATATGTGTGTGTGTGTTGCAGTGAGGATATTTCTTATTCTGAATGCTTACAATCATCAGAGAAAAGGGTTTGTTGCAATATTTATTGCAGCCAGGATGCAGCATTCTGAACATAAAAAAAAACTGAAGGAAGAAATGGTGGTTCACAGTAACAAAGACTTCAGTGACTCACTGTAGAGCCTATCCCTCAGGCTTGCCGTCCCTGCCTGATCCTCCTTTCCCCGAGAAAGGAAATCATTTAGGAAGATAAATTCAGTCCCTTCTGGGTATTGTATTGACTTTTACACAGAATACTAATTTACACATAAATATAATACTCAATCAAAGTTTGGCCACAGTTTTTTTTGTATGGCCACACAATTTTTGAAGTCTTTCAAATTTTGAGGATTGTTAATGTAGTATGGCTTGTCTTCTTTAATGCCAAAGAAAGTAAGATTTCATATTTTCTATATGTTGTCTAGTGCAACTTGAAAAATAATTCAGTAGATTAAAGTTGTGGCAGATACTTAAACTATAGAACAATTATTTTGAATAAAAACTCGAATATTCAGCCTGTTTTATTATTACTTTTATTTTCTTGAGGGTCAGGAATAAACCAGTGTCTATTAGCAGGTATCTCTGAGTCTGCAACAAGGACATAATAAAGCCTGAACAAGTGAATAAGTATTAAATGCTTTATCTTACGATGTTGTCCATGTGCTTGTGTTGTAATCATAATTCTGATGCAAGAATAAATTCATGATTCAGATGGAACCTTTTAAGGTTTAATCAGCATAAGTTGTATATTACCCATTGTTTCCTCTAAGTATAAAAGAACTCTATTGTGTGCCCAGTACTGTTAACTCCTTAGTTCTTTTCTAGTTCTGGGTTATCCATAGGATCTGCATCTTTGCTGTTGCCACTGTTTTTTAGGCATATTCAAAACATGAGTGAGATCAAGACTGATGTCGGAAGAGCTCGGGCATGGATAAGATTGTCTCTAGAAAAGAAGCTCTTGTCCCAACATCTCAAACAGTTGCTCTCTAACCAACCACTCACCAAGTAAGATATTGCCTTTTGATACATTTCTGTTTCCATGACCTATGTGCTTGCAAACCAAATTGCAGAAGCTGACAAACTGGCTTCTTCACCATGAAGTGCTGATTCCTGTGCACATGCATTCTTTTCTAACAGGCATGTGCTTCAGAAACTCTGTCTTGACATAATATGTGCTCATTTCTGGGAGGACACAACAAATTTCATAGCCAGAGGCCAGATTGCTCTACTATACTCAGATAAAAAAAAAAAAAAAAGTCCACACAAGTTGACAGTAACATCCAAAAGATAAGGCGAACTTATATAAACCTTATCTCATATTGTAAAAATCACAACAAAACCTCAAGTAGCATAGTAAAAAAGAGGTGGGATGGGGCGTCCACAGTAAAGCACTGCTTCTGAGAGTCTTGCCAATACTTATATCCACTAGTTTAGAGCCAGGAAACCAATCACATGCATGTCAATTAATTGTTAACTTTTTTGGTAGTTTCTCATTACTCAGTCAAGAAATCCTTTTGGATGAAATACATTGCCCTTATATGTACAGTAATGCTAATTTGAAGGCTAAGGACTTTGAGTTCTCAGGAGCAAAGGTATGCAGAGAATTCAACAAAGACCTCAAGCATGACAGTTTATTAGAATCCCCTCATGGTAACTCAGTGCTTTTTGTAGTTTTTCATTTGTACATAATCACCTTTGAATTTCTTATTCCTGGAGCATTTCAGAATGAGTCTTAGTGTCCAAAGAGTGGATTTTTTAAGGAATGCAAATATGACATACAGCCTGAGAACCTGATCTTGTTCTCTTAAAACTGACTTTTTTCACCCCAGTTATAAAAGTCACTCATGCCATTGTGACCGAAGTACAAAGAAGAAAATGATAATCATTTATAATCCTCTCTAAAGAAGAATACTAGGCATTTTGTGTTTTCTTCTATACTTTCTTCTATGCATGTTCTCTTAGTTAAGATTATACTATATCTGTAATTCAGTACCCTTTTTTATAGCTGAACAATGTATCATACATTTGACTTCACTATAAGAGTTTAAACTCTGAAGTCTCAATGCCTGTCTTCAAATACTGCCTTTACTATTAATATTTACCATTTGAATGGCTTTGGACAAGATAATTACCTTCTCTGTATTTCTGTTTTCCCCATCTATAAAATGATGATGTTAATAGACTTAGCTCATAGAGTAGTCATGAACCTTAAATATATTAATAATTATAAGACACTTGGAAAAGTGTTTAAATGTAAGTGCTTAATAAAATCTTTGCTCCCATTTCATATTGCATCTTTAGAACTGAGTCCTGAAAGTTAAACTAATGAGTCAAGGGGTATGACTGGTTTAAAATTGTTATCAGGCTGGGTGCTAGCCTGTAATTACAGCACTTTGGGAGGCTGAGGCAGGAGGATCACTTGAGGCCAGGAGTTTGAGACCAGCCTAGCCAATACAGTGAGACCCTGTCTCTACAAAAAATAAAAGTAAATTATCTGGATGTGGTGGTGCACACCTATAGTCCCAGCTACTCAGGAGGCTGAAGCAGGAGGATCACTTGAGCCCAGTAGTTCAAATCTGCAGAGAGCTATAATCATTCCACTGCACTGCAACCTGGGCAACAGTGAGACCCTCTCTCTAAAAAAAAAAAAAATTGTTACCAATAATGCTTTCCTGAACTTTTCAGTCCCAGTTGATGAAGATGCTGATTATGGCCTCTTTGTCAACATTGTCTCATTATTTGATAGATAAAATAATTCATAGGCGTAGAATTCTCCTAACGTACTATAAGTAGTTAGAGTTAAAAATGCTTTTGAGGCCAGCGACGGTGCGCGACTGTCAATCTAGACTCTGGGACCGTCCACGAGAGATTGGCTTGAGCTCCAGAATTGAGACCAGCCTGAGCAAGAGCGAAACCCACCTTCTACACAAAATAGGAAAATTAGCCGGGCATGGTGCACATGATCGTAGCACTATTTGGAGGCGAGGCAGAGGATCGCTTGGAGCCCAGGATTTCGAGGTCTTAACGTGAGCGATGAATTGCTTACTGCGACTCTAGCTGGGGTGACGTGCAGAACCGTAAATGTCTCAAAAAAAAAAAAAAGTTTTTGAATTATCAATTTTGTAAGATTAAATTTTCTACTCATTGTTTCTCTAAAAGAGTTATTTTAAACAAGACATAAAAAATTTCAAATACAAAAAAAACATAATGAGAAATATACTACTGTCTTGGTGTTTTTTTCCCTTTCAGGAAGCTTTATAAGCGTTATGCTTTTCTACGTTGAAAGAAAGAGGGAACAATTTCTTTACCATCTTCTTCCCTCAATGCTGTGGACTATTTCTGCTTCACCAGTGTGTTCACTACTACCAGTAATTCTAGAGAATTAACTGTTAAGTGAAGAGTTACTGAGTGACTAATAGAATAAAAGCATTTGTATTTTTAAAAGTGAGGCCGGGCCACGGTGGCTCATGCCTGTAATCCTAGCACTCTGGAGAGCCGAGGCGGACAGATAGCTCGGTCAGGAGTTCATACCAGCCTGAGCAAGAGCAAGACCTCCGTCTCCTACATTAAATAGAAAGAAATAAATTGGCCAACTAATAAATAGTAAAAAAATTAGCCGCGCATGGGTGTGCTGCCTGTAGTCCCAGCTACTTGGGAGCTGAGGCAGGAGGATTCGTTTGAGCCCAGGAGTTTTGCGGTTGCTGTTGAGCTAGGCTGATGCCACGGCACTCACTCTAGCCTGGGCAACAAACCGAGACTCTGTCTCAAAAAAAAAAAAGTGAGATACACTGTAGTACAGGTGGGCGTGTGACGCACCCCCAGATCTCCATTTAGGAATGAAGGCTATTCCCCAGCTGCTAGGAGTGCTGCCAGAAGCCCTCGATTGTCAGTCTGTGGGGAGAACCTCACTGAAGAGGACTGCCTTACCAGAGGTGATCCCTTGTGCCAGGGCCAGCCAGCATCCTGTGACTGAACAAAGGGCTGTTCCAGGGCTCCCCAAAGGGTCAGCTGAGAACTTCACTGAGACTGCATCACAGCTCAACATTTCCCACAACCAGTCCTGCTTTCATCCTCACATGTTATCCGAGGGGCAGTATTGTGCATGCTGATATCAGACTCAGAGTCTGTTTGCTAAGAAACCCAGTCTGTAATGGAAAATGTTACCTATCATAGATGTTAAAAGGAATATTTTATTAAATGTTCTAATATCTTAACTGAAACACATAAATTCAAAGAGTCAGTGTATGATAATAATAAACTTATGTAAGTGGACATCATTGAACTTTGGGAGAAAATGCTGATTGGAGATGTATTTTTTTATAGAAAGCTGAATTCTAGCATTTATTCCATCTACCATTACTAATTCTTATTTGCAGTGGGTCCTCTTCCTTACTTTGAAAAATTTTACTTATATCAGTTAAAATTATGTTCAGCTACAAGTATCAGAAAATTGAAAACCAGTAGTTTAAACAGCATAGTGTTTTCATTTTCTTACATAATAAGAAGTCTCAAGGTAGTCTGCAATGCCATCATAGACCCAGGCCTGTCCCTTTCCTCCTAGGCATCCTTATGTGTGCTAATCACATCATGGTCTCAAGATGGCTGTTCTCAAGCCATCTTCTAGCAGGAAGAAGTTCTGAAGGAATGCCAAGGAGGAAGGGGCAGAATCTACTAGAAAAACATAATCTTTCAAAATATCCCAGTAAACATCACTCACATTTCACTGGCCAGGACTGTGTAAGTTTTGGCTTTCCAGTCTCTGGTAGAAGTAGACAAGGAAGAAGGGAGTTAGAATGGGTATTGGGCCAACTTACAGTATCTGTCAAGCTACTAATAATTTATTAGGTTACTGCAGGCATAAGAATCTAAGATGTTATATATACTTTTAAAAGAGAAGAAATAGCAACAGAAGTTGTTAGGATTCCTAAGACCCTCCTTGTATTTGTAGCTTTCTCATCATCTGAGTAACTTTCAATTTGAGGAATTCTTCATGAAAAGTTTGTTTGAATTTCATAATATTGCTTTTTTTATGTTCAAACTATGAAATCACTGTTGTGCATCCGTGGGCCCTTTGCAGGCACAGAACTGCTGACCCTAAACAGGCCCTTTTCTGCAGCTTTTCTAATCCTATCAATGCAAGAAATGAGAGAAGCCTCTGGCACCTAAAATAAAGTCTTAATGCTAACCTCTTCTGCTTTCGGTTTCAAAAACCATTTGATTCTGATGATTACTAAACCATGAAAGTATGGCCTTTCCTCTAACATTTTCCTTTCCTTCAGCCAAAATAAAAGGATAGAAAGGGAGGTTATTCACCTAACATAAAAAAAAGTCACTTTTGCAAAATCAGAGAAACCATTTATCCCATTCGTTTTACTACTCTAAGAGAACACTGAACCATGAGTTCATGTTGTGAGGCTATATCTGGGCACGTTGTCCAGTAAATGTTTTTCATCTTTTGTGTAGATCTTTCAAGGAGGGCTTCTGACACCCCCTCTTGTGACTGAATGAGCAGAAATCCCAAGGATACCAACAAAAAATATTGATTCTACCCTATTAAAAAAAAAAAAGTATTGATTCTACCCTACTGTACCTTATCCAGTATGATTTCTTATTATGTAAGAAAAATGAAATTACTAAGCTGTTTAAACTACTAGTTTTCAAGTTTCTGATACTTGCAGCAGAACGCAGGTCCTAACTGATATAAGTAAATGTTTTTCATCTTACATGTAGATCTTTCAAGGAGGGCTTCTAACATCTCCTCTTGTGACCAAATGAGCAGAAATCTCATGGATACCAACAAAAAATATTGATTCTACTCTGTTCTAAATAAATAAATAAAGTATAGCTCTGATAGCCAAAATGTACTAATGTATTTAAACCAGCCACCTTTTTTTAAAAGAGAGAACAAAATGTTCAACTTTCTTGCCCAAAGGACAGTGATGGGACAGTGACACCTAGTGGTTTGCCTTTGAAAAAGCCTCGAGAAGAAAAAGGTTTCACACAGATCTGTTTGCACATCTTGACTCTTTCCCTGGGGCCCTCTTAATAGCTTCCCAAGTTGTGGTTTGTAGACTTGATGGTATGTCCACAAATTGTTTATTATTCTTGGCATTGCAAATTGTGCTGTAAACCTGGGATGGGAAAGCTGTGAAGTGCAGCGCGTTAAAGCAATGGTCCCAACCTTTTTAGCACTGGGGCGGTTGCATGGAAGACAGTTTTTCCACCATGAGGGAGGTGAGGAGGCAGAGCTCAGGTGGTGATGCAAGCGATGGTGGCTGCAAATACAGATGAAGTTTCCTAAGTTTCGTGGAAGACAACTTTTCCATAGGTGGGGTGGGGGAGCTCTGCAGCCTGGTCCTCGGGGCTTGGGGACTGCAGATTTAAAGCATTGCCCAAGAAAATGAGCAACAACATGATACTGTCCAAGAAGTCGTCCTCCCTTCTTTTCATATGAAACCACATCAGTATCAGTAATCATGTTCATTTGTACTTGATTTTGATACAAAATTAAATTTTTAAAATATTAAGCAATGGAAACACTGTATAGTATAGTTAATGTTCATGTCCTCAGGTATTCTGATGCCAATGCTTGAGATTGTTTATAAATTTAATGCTGATATATATGTCATAGGTACACGATGATGTATATGCTATGGAAACCACTACCACAAGTATTGGGACTTGTGGTTTATGAACCAGACCTGTTTCTAGACAGGAAGAGGTTACAATCTTATCTTTCTGTGTTAGTACATCTTACTAGATCATAAAAATCAAATTATTGGTGAAAACCAACAGTGTTCTTAATATATGTTTTATTATCAGGAGAATTTTATTGTAATTTTTCACTAATTTCTGTATTTTTCTTTTAGTGATTCCATATAGATCAGTGATTATCCCAATCAAAAAACTGAGCAATGCTATCATCACATCAAACCCTTGGATCTGTGTATCAGGAGAGCTAGGAGACACAGGAATAATGCAGATTCCCAAAAACCTCCTTGAAATGACTTTTGAGGTAGGCTCAGCTAATACTTTCCTCACTAGAAAGTGTCATATGTAGTTTTACAGAAGGATTCCAGTTTTTATTTTTCATTTTTCCTTGAATCAAATAAAAGAACACTCAAGCATGCAGGATCATTTTTGTGATTATATGCCTGAAGTTGTCTTAAGCAGCTTATACTAATTTGTTTTGTGTTTTCAGTGTTGCTGTTTTCATTGTTAAACTCTATTTTTCGCTTGTAATGATGTGCTTTGAGGCTTTACCCAGTCCTATCCCATGATTCCCAGAACCTAGCATAGAGCCTGCCAACCAGAGAACATTGAAATAAATGTTTTTCCCACAGTGGTTCTCCTCCCTCCTGTAAAATGCTCCCTGCCGGAACCTGGCCATCCTTTGGCAAAAGTACAAGAGAACTGATATCCATGCTTATGGATTTTAGGCCACATGGTGACATTTATAGGGTGATTCTATAAAAATGCCTCTCAGTATTATAGTCAGTTTTCAGGTCTTACCTGAAGAAATAGTTCCATGTGTTTGACCTCACATGCAGGTTGATCCTGGCATTCAGAAAGAAGACAAATACTTCCTCGTGTTTCAGGAGGAAAGTAGTACTAAACTGAGTGCTCCATTCTCATGTTCCCAAGAGCCTGTTTTGACTTTATCCATGCAGTGGACTCGCAGCCCTTTGTATATAAAAGATTAAAACCCTTCGCTTTTCTTCCCCTACGAATTATGGAACATAAACTACATTATATTGGCCAGGTGGCTCACACCTACAATCCTAGCACTCTGGGAGGCTCAGGAGTTCAAAACCAGCCTGAGCAAGAGTGAGACCCTCTCTCTACTAAAAATAGAAAAAATTAGCCAGGCATGGTGGCGCATGCCTACAGTCCCAGCTACTCGGGAGGCTGAGGCAGAAGGATCGCTTGAGCCCAAGAGTTTGAGGTTGCTGTGAGCTAGGCTGACACCATGGCACTCTGGCCTGGGCAACAGAGCCAGACTCTGCCTCAAACAAAACAAAACAATCTCTAAATCCCATCACTGCTTTTTCCAAGCTCTCTTTCTCACATCTGCCTACTTCTTTCTGTCTCTGCTACACAACTAATTAAAGGTGCCATCCCTCAGCTGGATCACTGTGATGCCTTACTGAGATACAAAAAAGTAAAGTACTTTAAGAACTCTGCCCGGTGCTGTGGCTCACGCCTGTAGTTGTAGCACTCTGGGAGGCTGAGGTGAGCGAATCATTTGAGCTCAGGAGTTTGAGACCAACTTGAACAAGAGCGAGACCCCCGTCTCTACTAAAAAAACAGAAAGAAATTAGCTGGACAGGCCGGGCTTGGTGGCTCACGCCTGTAATCCTAGCACTCTGGGAGGCTAAGGCGGGCGCCGGCAGGTGCTCTGCTGTAATCTAACGTCTGGAGCCGAGGCGGAAAGTAGCTCGAGGTCAGGATTCATACCCTGAGCAGGCCAAGACACGTTCTCATACTATACCATAGACACGAGTTAATTGGCCAACTATATATATAGAAAGAGATTAGCCGCGCTCGGTGGCTAGGCTTGCGGTGTAGTCCACTACTGGGAGCTCGAGGGAGGAGATGATTTGAGCACCCCAGGGTTTCCCGGCTTGTGCATGAGGACTAGGCGAATGCGGGACACGGCACTACACTCGCTAGTGGGCAAACACCCGAGACTCGTCATCAAAAAAGATTGCAGATACACTGTAGTAACGGTGGCGCGCTGGATGCGGAACCGAGAGGAGGCATAGGATGAGGCGTCCAGCTTGCTAAGGAGTGCTGCAGAGCTCGAAACCTTGTAGACTACTTGGGAGACAACCTCCTAAGTCTGCTTCCCAGAGGTGAATCCCTGTGCACGGCCAGCAGCATCCTGTGAATGAGAAGGATGGACATGTTCCCACGGGCTGCCAAAGGGCTCACGCGTGAGAGATTCGCTCGGCATCAAGGCATCACCAGCGTCAACATTCCTCAACCAGTCTGGCTTTATCCCTCCACAGTGTCTCACGCCTACCGGCCGGCTATTCTGTGCTGGCTGACTTTTGCACTCAGAGTCCGTGTTTCTGTTAAGAACCCCAGTCTGTCAATGGAAACTGGTTACCTACCTCATGAGGATGTAAAGGATATTTGTATTAAGTGGTTAATATCTTGACGACTGAAAACATAATTCAAGACGCTCAGCTGTATGATATAATAATTCTCGTCGATGGAAATGCATCGGACTTCTGAGGAGGAAATGCTGGATTGGCAGACTGTATCCTCTTTTATGAAAGGCCGAAGTTCTACTTCCACTACTCTCCACTCTCTTATAATTTATTTGAGTGGGTCCTCTTCCTTACTTTGCTGTGTTGACACATTACCTTACTTATCACTGCTCTAAACGCTTACATCGCTGTTCAGCCTAGCAGTATCAGGAATTCGGAAGCACAGTAGTTCAACAGCACAGTGTTCTCATTTCTTACAATAATACCCAGAGCAGGTCCAAGGCGCTATCTGCAATGCGATCAGTACAAGACCACGGCTGGATCTTCTCCTCCCTAGGAGTCCTTCCGATCTGTCAGACTAATCCATCGATGGTTCGAAGAGCTGCCGTTGTTTCCCCAAGCCATGCTTCGCTAGCAGCGACAAGTTCTAGGACTCGCCCAGGCGCGCGAGCGGGCTAGACTCTCCCTGAAACATCAGGATCCTGTTAAATATCCACGCTCAACCATCACTCCATTTCAGCTGCACGCTTTCGTAGTTGCTTGGCTTCAGTCTCGGGAGACAGTAGACCAGGACGGAGAAAGGAGTTACAATCGGTACTCCTGGGCCACTTACAGTAATACTGTCACGCCTACTAATACTTTATTAGGTTATCGCAGGCATAACTCTAAGATCGTTACCTATGACTACCCCCTCTTTAAGGAACGAGAATAGCCCACGAATTGTTACGGGATTCTGAAACCCCTCTTGTATTCCTTGAGCTCTTCTCTCATCCCTGAGTACTGATTCAATTCTCAGCACTTCTCTGAACAGTTCTGCTTTGCGAACTTTATAATATAGCCTTTTTTACGTGTCCTACCATATGAATCACTGTTGTGCGCTCGTCGGGGCCCTTTGCAGGCCAGAACTGCTGACCTAAACAGGCTGTTTCTGCAGCTTTCTAAATCTATCATCGCAAGACCGCGTGAGCGCGCTCTGGCACCCCACGTCAACACCTACAGAGTCCTTAATGCTAACTCGTTCTGCCCTCTCGGTTTCAACAAACATCTATTCTGATGAATTATAAACCATCAGAAAGTATGGCTTACTCTCTCAAATTTTTCTTTCTTCAGCCAAACTAAGGCTAGAAAGGGAGCTTTATTCCCTCACTAACCAAAAGTCTTACTGCAATCAGAGACATCTTAATCGCATTCGTCACTCTTTACTACTCTAGAAACCTGAACACTGAGTCATGTTGTGCAGGCCTACGTATTCGCACGCTGTGTCCCAGTAACTGTTTTTCATTTCTCTGTGTACGATCCTTTGCAGGAGGGCTTTCATGAACCCGTCCGCCCTTCCTGACGTCGAATAGCCAGAAATCCCAAGGAGTAGGCCACAAAACTTTGATTCTACGCTGATTCACAAAAAAGGTATTGATCCTATACCTACTGCTCTTATCACGTATCGATTCATCTTATTATCGGTAGAAGCATGAAATTATCAGCTCCGCTGGTTTAAAAGAGTACTTTCGTCTTATGCTACTGAGCAAACGCAGGTCGTGAAGATCGCTATACGTTACTCTTTTTCATCTTACTTACGACTGTTCAGGCAGGCGCTTCCTACTCGCTCTTGTGACAAATGAGCAGAAATTCATGGATACCCCACCAAAAATACTTGATTCTACGTTCTAACATAAATAAGTACCAGTATGCTCTGATCAAAATGGTACTATGTATTTCGTAAACAGCGCACCTTCTTTTCTTCACTTTAGTTTGATAGATAAAATAGATTCATAGGGATAGAATTTCTCTAACTACTATAATAGTTAGGTTAAAAATGCTTTTGAGGCCAGGCGAGGTGGCGCACACCTGTAATCCTAGCACTCTGGGAGGCCGTCACGAGAGGATTGCTTGAGCTCAGGAATTTGAGACCAGCCTGAGCAAGAGCGAGACCCCACCTCTACAAAAAATAGAAAAATTAGCCGGGCATGGTGGCACATGGATGTAGTCCCACCTATTCTGGAGGCTGAGGCAGGAGGATCGCTTGAGCCCAGGATTTCGAGGTTTAAGTGAGCTATGATGATTGCTTACTGCACTCTAGCTGGGGTGACAGTGAGACTATGTCTCAAAAAAAAAAAGTTTTTGAATTATCAATTTTTGTAAGATTAAATTTTCTACTCATTGTTTCTCTAAAAGAGTTTATTTTTAAACAAGACATAAAAAAAATTTCAAATACAAAAAAAGACATAATGAGAAATATACTACTGTCTTGTGTTTGTTTTTCCCTTTCCTAGGAAGCTTTATAAGCGTTATGCTTTTCTACGTTGTGAAGAAGAAAGAGAACAATTTCTTTACCATCTTCTTTCCCTCAATGCTGTGGACTATTTCTGCTTCACCAGTGTGTTCACTACTATCAGTAAGTCTAGAGAATTAACTGTTAAGTGAAGAGTTACTGAGGTGACTAATAGAATAAAAGCATTTGTATTTTTAAAAGTGAGGCCGGGCACGGTGGCTCACGCCTGTAATCCTAGCACTCTGGGAGGCCGAGGCGGACAGATAGCTCGAGGTCAGGAGTTCATAACCAGCCTGAGCAAGAGCAAGACCCCGTCTCTACTATAAATAGAAAGAAATTAATTGGCCAACTAATATATATAGAAAAAATTAGCCGGGCATGGTGGCGCATGCCTGTAGTCCCAGCTACTCGGGAGGCTGAGGCAGGAGGATCGCTTGAGCCCAGGAGTTTGTGGTTGTTGTGAGCTAGGCTGATGCCAACAGCGAAACTATTGCAATAAAGGCATAGTTATCAATGTTCTTAACTGGCCCTTTGTGGACAAGTACAAAATAAAGCAATGATAATAGGAATAGTAAAAATGAATGTTAATTAAATTCTGGCTTTTAAAATCTGATAATGAAAATCACAGACCATCTGAACTACTATGTGCGCGATGGATCCGAGCTGTGAGTTCTTCTTTCTATTTTTTTTTTGAGACAGGAGTTCCTCCACCTATTGCCCGGGCTAGAGTGGCTAGGAGTGCCCTGGCGTCAAGCCTTAGCTTCACAACACAACCTCAAACTCCTGGCTCAAGCCAACCTCCTGCCTTCCAGCCTTCTTGAGTAACAGGACTTAAACAGGCATATGCACCATGCCTGGCTATAATATATATGATATATATAATAAAATAAATATTTACAACACCACAACACCACACACACACAAACATAACATTAGTTGTCTAGCTAATTTTTTTTCTTCTTTTTTTTTTGAAGACACAATCTCGCTTTGTTTGCCCAGCGCTAGAGCCTAGTACCCCTGGCGTCAGCCTATGCTCACAGCAACCTCAAACTCCTGGGCTCAGCTCCTTCCCTGCTCGCCTCCCGAGTAGGCTAGTCTCGTTAGGATGTGCCCGACCACATGCCCGGCTCATTTTTCTATATCTGTTAGTTGACCAATTAATTTCTTTCTATTTATAGTAGAGATGGGGTTCTCGCTTTTTCTCCAAGCTGGTTTTTTTTTTCTTTTTTTTTTTTATGAGACAGAGTCTCCTTATTTGGCCCAGGCTAAGAGTGAGTGCCATGGCTCACCTGGCTCACAGCAAACCTCAATCTCCTGGGCTCCAGCGACTCTACTGCCTCGAGCCTCCCAAGTATGCTGGGACTACAGGCCATGCGCCACCATGCAGGCTAATTTTTGTCTTATATTTTTCAGTTGTCATTATTTTCTTTCATTTTTGGTAAGACAAGGTCGCTAGGCTGTTTGTGCCTCTGACTTGAAGCCGACCCGCCGCCTTAGCCTTCCCCAGAGTGCTAGCATTACAGGCGTCGAGCACGCAACGCGGCTGTCCAGCTAATTTCTTTCGTTTTTTTTAGTAGAGACGGGGTCTCCGCTCTTTCAAGTTGGTTCTCAAACATCGCTGAGCTTCAAAATGCTTCGGCTCACCTCAGCCTCCCAGAGTGCTACAACTACAGGGTGAGCCACCAGCACCGGGCAGAGTTCATTAAAGTACTTTTACTTTTTTGTCATCTCAGTAAGGCATCCACATGATCCAGCTGAGGATGGCACCTTTAATTAGTTGTGTACAGAGACAGAAAGAATGGCAGATGTGAAAGATACTTGGGAAAAGCAGTGATGGATTAGAGATTTTGTTTGTTGAGGCAGAGTCTGGCCTCTGTTGCCCAGGCCAGAGTGCCATGGTGTCAGCCTAGCTCACAGCAACTCCATTTGGCTCAAGCGATTCCTTCCTGCCTCAGCTCCGAGTAGCTGGATGATGCGCCACCATGACTGTAATTTTTTCTATTTTAGTAGAGACGAGGGTCTCCTCTTGCTCCGGTCTGGTTTTTTGACCCTGAGCCTCCCAGAGTGCTAGGATGTGTAGGTGTGAGCCACACGTGGCCAATAAATGTTAGTTTATTTCAAATTCGTAGGGAAAAAAGCGAACGAAGGGTTTAATCTTTTTATAATACAAAGGGCTGCGAGTCCACTGCATGGATAAAGTCAAAACAGGCCTTGGGAACATGAAATGACATCAGTTAGTACTAACTTTCCTCCTGAAACGACGAGGAAGTATTTGTCTTTT